GCTTAGTCGAGAGATCCACACCCGGAATAATGTACAACAACTCAACCTCTCTGTAGCTACCACGTACACTAAATTCTCGAAGGTCGCTTATCAATAAATTAATACGATGCTGCTCGTATATATATATATTCACATGATAAACGAGTCGAACTGGATGCGAAAACGATAAGCAACTGAGCAAAAGATCGGAGAAAAAAGGAATGTGAAAACCGTCAAGAATCATAGATTGGCCGGTTACAGCGACAGTTGCAAAAAATGAGTTAGGGCAAATGTCATTGTCCTTCTAGCTTCTTACAATGGAACTGACACAGAGTTAATTAACCACGGTACAGATCCGACAATACTACTAGACAACTTTGTCAACCTCCAAATGTGACATCTCGAACTTAAAACAAGAAATATGGGGCAAAAATGTGATATTTTCAATTGTCTACGCACATGCAATTGCAAGATTTTTATTCAAGCTGCCTGTAGATTTTTTTTGGAGTATCATAACTGGGCAGCCCATTAGTACGATATTGTCCGCTTTGGGCCAAGCCTGTACGGTTTTACTCTTGGGTGTCCTCCCCAAAAGGCCTCGTACTAATTAGGTAGGTGGACTCTAATATACAAGGGTTCCTTCCCTTGTATTACCGATGTAGTACTTGGATTGTCCCCTAACAATCCTCCCCTCAAGCCAAGGACCACGTACATCGTGTCCTCACCTCAGCGATTATCTTGATCCGCCAGATGCCTTGTATCGATGGGCTTCTCGATACAAGGACTTTACCAGACGCAGAACTCTCTTTGATCCGCCAAGCCCAAACATGGATCTCTCCTGGATCCACCAAACCAGATGCAAATCTCAAATCCCGAAGCCACCGAATGAGGGTCCACCAAACTGACGTCCACCGCCCCGCACCGAACCAGGCTCTGATACCACTTTTCGAAATCGGGGCGCTCAATTAGTACGATATTGTCCGCTTTGGGCCAAGCCCGCACGGTTTTACTCTTGGGTGTCCTCCCCAAAAGGCCTCGTACTAATGAGATTGGTGGACACTAATATACAAGGGTTCCTTCCCTTGTATTACCGATGTGGTACTTGGATTGTCCCATAACAATCCTCCCCTCAAGCCAAGGACCACGAAATCGTGTCGTCACCTCAGCGATTATCTTGATCCGCCAGATGCCTTGTATCGATGGGCTTCTCGATACAAGGACTTTACGAGACGCAGAACTCTCTTTGATCCGCCAAGCCCAAACGTGGATCTCTCCTGGATCCACCAAACCAGATGCAGATCTCAAATCCCGAAGCCACCGAATGAGGGTCCACCAAACTGACGTCCACTGCCCCGCACCGAACCAGGCTCTGATACCACTTGTCATAACGGGGCGCTCAATTAGTACGATATTGTCCGCTTTTGGCCAAGCCCGCACGGATTTACTTTTGGGTGTCCTCCCCAAAAGGCCTCGTACTAATGAGATTGTGGACACTAATATATAAGGGTTCCTTCCCTTGTATAACCGATGTGGTACTTGGATTGTCCCATAACAGGGAGCATAAGATTTTTTTCCCCAGAATAATACATGAGGAATTTTACAATACTATATAGTATTGGTGTTATAGGTTTTTACCTTTATCACACAATTTGGAATTGTACATTCAATGTTATGGTACAGTTTTAGATTATACCTACATTGTTTTGTACATATTCTTTATGGTACAACTTGAACTTGTACTTTAATGTGATGGTACAACTTCAAGTTGTAAAGTCGTACCATAACATAAGAGTACAAATTCATTTATGGTACAATTTGAACTTATACATTTAATGTTATAGTACAACTTCAAGTTGTACATTAAAGCACCAATACTTTCTAGCATAGTAAAAAGGCTCTAATACATTATGTGGTATTTGAATCCAAATACTACACCCAACCAATTCATTCAAGCGAGTTAAGGAAGCTCACAAAAAATCAACCCAACTGAATCTTTACCATAAACCCTTCCATATGTATGGGTGACTCTAGTATATATATGGGTTATAGGTATAATATGCCCCTATATTATGACGTTTTATCAAACATGCCCCTCTACTATTTTTTACATCAAACATGCCCCCTGTAATTTGGAAAAACTATCAAACATGCCCTTCAATTGAAAAAAAATCGTCAATCATGGTTGAACCGAGATTTAGATGACCTGACATCAATAAATGGGAGGGGAAATGTCAGTTTTGACCCTTTCTTTATTTCTCTAAGTCTCATCAAAGTGAAATTATTATAATTATTTGGCTATACAAAAGAAAAAAAACTCTAAAGTGAAATTATTAGAGATGTTTTAGATATTTGGGTTTCCCAAACCAAAGTTCGGTCTTGGTTAACGGTTTTTGGATGGAAATTTTAGCAAAAGGGCATGTTTGATAAGTTTCCCACAGTACAAGGGTATGTTTGATATAAAAAATAGTAGAGGGGCATGTTTGATAAAACGTCATAGTAAAGGGCATATTATACCTATAACCCTATATATATATACACCCCTAATTGTTTTTGTCTATAGGAAACCTCAATCATCAAAATTAGACTTTAATTATCAATTTGTAATCGTCAGTATTTATTAAGGTGAAATTATTCATCAATCAATTTATATATGATATAGAAATTTGAATTCAATCCAATTCATCCCCTAAAAATCTAACTAATCTAATTTATTTAAATCCAAATTTAATAGATTTGTGAATTCATAAACGGGATTCATTGATTGTCAAAAAAAAATTATCATAAAATACTTACATATTTTTTTATTTTACAATTAAATACCCAAAATTTAATTTGTAAAGGAAAATATACCTCCAAAATTACATTTTGGTATCTGATTATTTTATAATAATATTTTTTTTTTGATTGTTGGCAATAAAAATTAAAACCCATAATGCGATGGATGATCTTATCTCCACTAAGCCACTCATTTGAAATTTTATAACGAAATTTTACTACATAAAACTATCATAATTATTCAAAATGTTAGATGTGATTTGGAGTCTATGAATCCATCGAGAAATCCATTTAATTCAACACGAATATACCAATTCACCACTCCAATAAATAAATTAAAATCCACGAAGACAATTGATTAGTCACCTTTAATTAGCAATATATATATATATATATATATATATATATTATCCCAGAACAAACCTAATACAATCGATTAAAACTCAATCCACTAGCTAGTCCCTGCTTTAATTTATTTCTGCCTGTTGCAGGTGGGAAAGTATGGGAATCCAGGGAACTCGGTTTAGTTGAACAATTTCAGGAAAACAAAAAAAAATTAACCCTTCCAAAGTCTACTAATCCCGCCAAATCCATTGACCAGGAAGAACACAAGATCCAAAGCCCTAGTGGCCATACACGAGTGATATAATACGACGACCTAAAGAAGAGAAGACAATCGCGTAAGGACTTTCTTCTTCTGCCACGTAAGCGTACACGTCGCCAGGAATCCGTACAGAGACTTTCAAAAGTTGTTCAACTCCGTCGACCGGTTGCCCAGCTTCTTCTGTTACCGTTGCTCTGTTCATCAATCAAACCAGCCGCAACATAGATGAAGATGGACACTCGGACTACTGAAAGTCCTCACACTGCCCATAGATAGAGTATAAAACCTCACTGGAATTCCCACACGACCCATAGATAGCTTGAAACTAATCACAAAATATGCTCTCTTTTTAGGAAAAATATGACACTAATAAAAAATAAATAGAGAGAGTTGTTGATTCAAGTCAACTATATACTAACAACTCACCTAAGAGGGGATCATCAAACGACAAAATTAGGGTTACCTCCAATATACTAATAGACTCGATCGAGGTAATAAGACACAAAATTAGACACGCCTTATTTATCAGTTCGAGTAGGTTGAATAAAGAATCGACCTACTTCAGTAAATCAATCAATGACTCCTCATTTTAAGATAGAAATAAAGGTTGTGATATCTGCAAAAATAATAAACTTAAAGATCCAATAGCCACCACTCTTTGTCGTACAACCAAATTTTTGTCCACTCTATCTTCAATCCCAAGAGGCATATGTTCCAACCAAAGTTCAATTTCCAATCCTCCTTCTACAACTCCATTTATTGAATTCGATTCTATTCGCAATGGATTGATATCAGAGTTGAAATCTTCTACTTGCCCATCTTAAATCCCCAACAATAAAATCGTAGTGTCTAGATATACCGAAGGATTGATTTTCAGAGGGGCGCAAACTATTGCATGATGTAGAGAATTTCAGAGGAAGTTAAAAAAAGATAAGAACACAGATAAAAAAGCACAAAAGTTATATTTAAATTGAATAATACATACGGTAGACTTAGTGGGCTTGCTACTAATAATAGAAAATTCCTCAGATTTTCAGAGTTAAACATCGTGTATGTTTTGTATTCATAGAGATACATCAAATTTGTTTAGTGTAATTGGTTTCAATTGTTGTCTTTGTTTGAAAAGACCTAGGTTCAAATCCTGAGATTGATATTTTCATATGAAATAAATAATTAATTGTAAAGATCAAATTGTTCTTCCTACTTTCACTCTCGTTATACGAAATTTGAAATGGAGAAAAGTACGCAAAACTCTACCATATTATTGGAGTAACGAGGCTTCAAAACGCCATAATATTCTATGGGCAACCAAATTTACGCCTCACGAGAAAAATGCTATGCTACCAAACGGTGAGAAAATATTGATAGTGGGGCCGAAACAAGGAAATAACTTAAACCAATAAGAGGTAAGACCTAAAAGAGCATGAAGCACATCCAAAAAAACAAATATCCAATACTCTCTCGATGTCTACAACTACAACACACCGTACATCGAGATATGCAATGGACATGATGAACATCTTATATCTCCAACAAATGTTCAAAGAACAAATGCTCACATTCATGATACGCAATGTAAAGGAAGGTACAAAAACACTATACTAAACACTATACAAATTTGGTTTTGCCTTCTATCAATCAAAGAGTTTATTTTACCCTCTCTCTATGACCAAAAAAAAAAAAAGAACTAGGACGTAAAAACAACGAGTTGAAAGCATTTTTTTCAAGCCCATTCTAAATCCAGATCCGATTAGGAGTAGCAAACCCAAATATTAGACATCAGTCACGCCCTTCTCGTCTACTTTTTCCTCCATCCGTCAAATAATCCGTCCATCGCTAGGCGCTCCACGCCATGACGAACCGCAGCAGCTCCGCCGCGAGAAAACGGCGACAACAACAACGAACCACTTCACAAACCTTACCAAACCCTAACCCTCCCGGACCCATCTCCAACCTCGGAGACGATCTCCTGCTAGAAATCCTCATCCGCCTACCGAGCCCTAGCTCCGCCGCCCGCTGCACGCCAGTCTGCAAGCAGTGGCGCTCCCTCGTCTCCACTCCCCTCTTCATCAACCGCTTCGTTTCGATTCGAACCACTGCCCCGGTCGAACCGATCAGCTTGATCACTTCATCCGACTCCCCGCCGAAACCCATCCTGAGCTTCCTCCCACATCTTCCACCCAACGTACGACTCCGTTTCAAGGTCCTGGATTCCTTCAAGGACTTGGTCTTATGCGGGTACTCGGACCAAATCAAGGACGGGTACGGGTGTACCGCGTACTTGATCTGCAACCGGTTTACGAAGCAATGGGTCGCCCTTCCTCTAGCCCCACGCAAGCCGCTCAGCCTGAGGGTGATTGCAAGGCTCGTGTGCAAGCCCCGAAACTCGAAACGTTTCGAACTAGACGACGGTGAACCATGGTTTGACTACTCGGACTACGAGTTTCGGGTCGTGTTGATGTACCGGTGGCAGCCCTACTGGCAGGACTCGACCGCGGTCGACGTGTTCTCGTCCCGGTCGTGGGGGTGGACCGAGGCGGTTCGGGTCCTCGACCACCCTCAGGTGGGGCCCCGCGGGGCGAAGAATGTAGTTTCGTGCAACGGGGAGTTGTTTTGGTCGCGCGACGACGAGGACGGCGACCGTGTTGATGAGTACGACGATCGCGTGTATCATCGTATTCATGTCTTCGCGCTCGACCCCTTTCGCATCCATTTGCCCGCCGCCTCGATCGTGGATCGCGTGCGCGGGGAGAGGCCGGCCAGATTCTGGGACATTTCGGTCTCCCGGGGCGAGGTTCACTTGGTTCGGCTCGAGGTCGAGTTGGACGTCGACGCAGTTTATGGTACGAGGAATGTCTTGAAGGTTTGGAGACTGATCGAAAAAGACAGTGGCAGCAGGATATGGTGGGAGACGTACTCCACGTTCTTGGAGACGTCGAATTGTGAACGATTCGACGATTTGGAGTGTTGCATGCTCGTTCTGCATCCGGAGAAGCCGGAAATCGTCTTTTTAGAGGTTCGCGATAGTCATCATCAGGGCGGTAATATGGAGACTACTACTACCACGGTTTTCACTTGCGATATGAGGAAGGGAAATCTAGAGTATTTCGCTCGAGTGAAACGAGGTGCGTCTCGTTGGCCGGTGTTCCATCCTCGAGCCAACAAGTGTTTGCCTACCCCGATTCCAAGGCATCTGAAGAGAGCCTCAACTGTTTGATTCAGAACAAGTCGTCGAAACCGGTAATCGCTCACTTCAGCTTGCTATAGGAATCAATGTTTTACGTTTGATGCAAGCGATCCCTTGAATAGTACAAATCATCGCAAGCTCTAAACTCTGTCAGATATGAATATTTTGAATACTCACAATTCTTATTTGTGGCTTGCTTGATAGTAACGACTGTTCATTCTGAATTTCAAATTCCATTGGATTTGAATTTATCAAGGCATGTGTCTCGCATTGATACTCTCTCACATTCAACGTCCCAACCCAACTTTCTGTTGCCATTCCTAGCACTGGTACATTCCAGATCGACCTTCGCAGAAACCACGTCCAAAATCTTTGTTGGCACCTCTCTGGATTTTTTTTTATCTATACAAAGTTTCTTGTGAATTTCCTTTCTAAGCATTCAATCCATCATTGTAGCTGGGTAGTTTCTTTCTTTCAATTACTTCAGATGAGTACTTATCCGGATGAAAAGAGATTTCAGATAAAATCTGTCATATATGACATAAAAATAGATAGAGAAGACAATGCACGAAATCATACTGAAAATCATACCGGATAAAGTAACATCGTGATTTAGTCTTAGTTTAGTTGAATTTTTTGTACCAAATAGATGAGTTACACAACCGTACATTCGAAAGACATAACATCATTGTTAAAGTAAAAAAAAGAAGGGGAAAACCCCATTATTCAAAAGGGAAAGTAGACATAACATGGATTTGTAAATCCAAACATTTCGCATTGATAGTCAATCTCGTGTTTTTTTTCTTTTTTCCTTCCATATTGCAGTAGTTCAGAATCCGCAACATGCTCCGCAAGGCTGGCCTATGATCGAACACGCACAGCAGGAATTATATTTGCAGGCTGTATCAATCGACCAACATGATGACTTCTTAGCTATCGTGTATTGGTTAACTGTGGAAAAGCTGCCTTGGGCGCCTGCCATCTCTGCAAAAATACAAAAGCAAAGTACAATTATGCAATTTACGAAACTTTAACTGTGTAAGGTATAAACAAGCTGGCTGATGATCATTTGCTTACCGTGGTTGGAGCGGGGGATCAACGGGGCCGCCGCCATGGATGGAGGCAGCATGGCGACATGGAGGAAGGCAACCAAAAGCAGACCGAACCCGATCACCACAGCTTTGTTGGAGTTCATCCTTACAAGAAAAACCTAGCCAGCCAGCAAGCAGGAAGTGGAGGGAGATTAGGGTTTCAGTAGTTATCCTGCCTATGTTGATGATGGTAATTATGTGGGGTTTTGAATGATGATTTAATTTATATATATATAGGCAAAAGCTAGCCAGCTTTGGCAGGTCTTCTCTCTTGTCCTGTCTGTATATGATTGTGTGAAATATAATATCAAGAGTTACGTTATGTTTTCTACGTATAATTAACTTGACGTTAATTTTCATTCATGAATTCCAATGCTTGTACGCTTTGTTCTTTGCATTTTAATTCGCTTGGTTGCCTGATTCTCAGAAACACCTTGCAGTTTGGCGAGAATTGTTTGAAGTTTAGGTTAAGATGGAATAATCATTAGGAGAGTTGATTGAATATAGAGAGTCCCATGAGCTTGGTACGTAATTGGTATCATCACCAAATCTGTCGTTGTATATGTGGGATTTGAGCCCCATCGGAATCTTCGGATTTGCCAATGGGTGTGTTTGTTTCAATCTCATATTTTCGGTAAGTGTTTGGAGAAAGTAAAATTGATAGGGTTTTTTTTTTTACTTATTGAAAGGTACGTAGTAGGGCTGAGAATTTAGATCAAATCGTATGAGGAACTGCGGTCTAAATCGTATCATATAATTTGGACCGTGAGACCAAGACTATGATTTGGTCTGGTTTGTGGCCTCTGTTTTTAGTGTGTGGTCTGAAATGGTCTGGATCGTGATATCTACCAAAGTAAATCGTGACAGACTACCTTCTAACTCACACCAAAATAACACTAAATTAAACGTCCATTTTTGTATTTAAAGAACTAAGTTAGTTGATTATTCATCCAGTTGAGACCCAACAGATTGCCTAAATGATCTCTTATGCATTGTTTTCTTATCAAAGAATCACACAAAAACATGAAAGATTCGTAACTAATATTCACTGACAATGTTTAGACTATGGAGTCGATAAAACATAAACACTTAGAAAAAATACATTCACCTTGATGAGATAAGGAAAACTATTGAGATATAAGCGACCATCTTAGTGGTTCAAAACGACTTCGACGTCATCACAACGGTGATCGACTACGAGAACCTGCCAGATCACACGAGTGAGAGAAGCGGCAGTACAAAGAGGAAGAGGGAAATAAGGATATTTGATGTATGTTTTTTTAATGGATAGTGGATAGAGCTACTCGAGAGAGAATTTGAAAATTGAAAAAGTCCACTTCTCCCCTCATATATTTCTTCACATTTTAATTACGATCACTATTTTTTTTTTGTTTCACTAGTATATTGGTTACTGAAATTTTAATTTGTATTGACCCCAGGGAGGATAGTAGGGTGGAATAAGAGTGAATTTTTTTAACAAGGTTTACTTGATCTAGATCGTACCAGACTGCACCGTATAGTATATGGTGTGGTCCATGATCTGTGTCCCAATCTCTCTGTTTGGACCTCAAACCATGAATATATATGGTCTGATTCGGACCGCACTGTGGATAGCATTCATTAGTAACATCGTCGGTGAAGTAAATAGAATTGGCCTTCAGCTCCGGATGCTCCTCCGTCGAGACGAAAGCAGGAGAATTAAAACCGACACTATCCACCTCATCCCATCCTCTCCAGCCTTGATCGTCGTTTATACGGCCTTTCATCGTCGGTTATCAGCTTGAACACCCTAAACTTGCTGGTCCAGTAAGTTACGATGCTAGTAGCCGCACCATCATCAGGTTCATCAACAACAGCAGCCGCCGCCTCTTTCTCCTCCTCGCCATCGTTGTATTTTGCGGCATACTTAACACGGCGGTGGCGGCAAAAGAGAGCCGAATTCTCCGGCGAGACACATATGTGTCTAGTAACCATCATACCGGTTCCACGCGCACACGCCAGAAGCTGCTGCTTCGCCTGTTCAAAGTTCAAACTACTGTTGGGCCGATTTATGGACTTACGTGTTGGGCCTTGGGTTTTGCATGGAGTCCACGTTCTACGTAACGTACATATATTTCCGTTGGGCTTTTCCAATGGACTTGAGTTGGGTCAGTGTTAGGGGCAAGAAGGGTTAATTTCACAGCTAGGCCTAGATGTGGTGTGATGGATGTAATAAAATAGGATAAGTAATAATTATTAGCCAAATTTTTTTCACATCCTTTTAGATTAAAATTATTGAATTATTAATCATTAGTCAAATTTTTTGTAATATATTAAAATATTATTCATTTCTCTATTATCGTTAATAATTTTCTGACTCTTTTTTTAGTTAAAGTACTAAAGTTTTGGAATGTTGACCTCCATATGTCTCTTTCAAGTCAGTATCATGTTGCCAAACAAATATTACTAACAAAATTACTAACTTGAAGTTGACATTTGACTAATTAATAGTAATTCAATAGATTTGACTTATGAAAAAGAATACCGAAAAGATTTGGCTGATAATTAGTCATTACCCCATGGACTAATGATATCATACTATATATTGTGATTATGTTTTCGTTTAATCTTGTATTGTTGTTCCTGAAACATCCCGTCCACTGCCACGAACCAAATATGACAGTGGAGCACGTATTTGTACGATTATAATAAGCGAGGGAACAATGAAATCTGATAGAAATACCAAATAAGTAAAGTCAAGAAAGTGGATACGATATGAGCCATACATACGAACGTACATAACAATAACATTCACAAGACAAAAACATTTATTATTAAGTAAAGGGAAGAACCCATTATTCCAAAGGGAAAGTACGTACACATATTATAGATCGATTTGTAAACCCAAATAAAACATAATTTTCATCTTGATATAGTCTTGTTCCTTTTCATCCCACCTCATTAGCCGCAGCAGGCTCCGCAAGAACCTATTGAGCAAGAACAGCAGAATTTAGACGGGCAGCTTGTATCAACCGTGTGACACTTCTTGCCCCATCCCAATGGCTCAACTGTGGATAATGCGCTGCCTCCGCCTGCCATCTCTGCAAATACAAACGTCATAAGTACGTACAAAAACACAATCATCATGCATAAACGTAAGGTACAAACAAGCTGATTATTGTCAAATGTAGTAAAAAACAGCGTAAGTTTTTAACCCTTTAAAACGCTATATTTTGACTACATTGATCGTTGCTACAATTATTTCATCGTTGCTTACCCTGCAGGTGCGAGCGTGGGATCAACGGGACTGCAGCCATGGATGGAGGCACCACGACGGCATGAAGGAAAGCAAGGAGAAGAAGACCGAACCCGATAACCACAACTTTGTTAGAATTCATCCTTACAAGGAAGGTGGCTAGCACCAAGAAAGCTAACGCGGTAAGAAAGTCGATCGGAGATTAGGGATTACAGTGGTTATGCTGCAATACGTTGATGGGTATGTTGGGTGATGATTTATATAGGCAAAGCGCTGGGTTAGCTTGTTAATTATGTCTCCTTAGAAACAAAACAATACCATCGCCATTAATCTAATGCTAGCTGGGATGGATTGCAGGTCTTCTCTCTTGTCCTGTCTCTCTCTGCGACTTAATTGCATGATAAACGTGCAAAATATAATACACAACCAAATTCGTGAATCTTACCATAGGGAGAAAGAGTTAAGAATTGTGATCTATATATGTCCATTCCAAAAGCATAATGACAAGGCAATGATTCACAATCTGTGATCAAGGTGCGGGTTACACAAAGGGGTGGCTATACGGTCCGATCCGGTTAAATTGGCTCGAATTGATCCGGTTCCGGTCTGGTCTCTTTGAGAATATAAGGACCAAATATTGGATTGGATATAGATTGATCTTGATCCGGTCCGGTCCTAATCCGATCTTGATTTTAGATTGAGCTTGTGGAGATTTGAGTGGCAGGGTGATGAGGTTAAATTTTGGGTGTTGGGCTCTCTTATTTGGTCTTTATCCGGTTTTCGCTCCGGTCTCAAACGATTATTTACCTCAAATTTAGGACGGAAAATTGGATCGGATTGTTTGCTATCCGATTTCGGTTCGATCTCGGTATGAATTATACGGTCCGATTTCGAATAAAACCAAGAAGCCTCAAACAAATAGCCAGCATAATTAATAACCAATCACTTGAAGAATTTTAGCCTTTAGGCCATGCAACCCTATTCAAAAAATGTGGGTCCATGGTCAGAGTAGAGGATTTGGACGGCGACGGTGGCCGGGCTGAGCTAGAACTGGAGTTTTTCGGCTTGATGTTCAGGCTTAGCCCTGGCCTGATGTTGGCATCAATCCCCCCATCTACTATTAGAATTGTGGATATTGGTTGAACCGGATGTGGGTGATAGATCATGTTTCGATCGATTTTGGACCGCTACAGATCTATGGTTAGGGACTAGTACTGTTCCATAGGAAATTATGTGAAAGTTTACCGATTTGTCACGATTGTTTCTGTACGGATTGGGAAATTGGAGGATTCTACCATGCAAGAAAACGAAAGCACACACGCGACACGCGATTTACGTGGTTCACTAACACAATGTGTCTTAACTAGTCCACGGGCAGGAGAGGACCAGTTTTACTGTACTTCGAGGAGATCCAGATTACAAAGGAGTATGAGAAATATTTATATTATTTCTCCAAAGTCTAGCAGTTGGTTGATAGTCCGATTCAAAATCACATCAACACAATTTTCATTTCATCCAACGTTTACACAAATCCGTATCAATTTCATGATTGTTGTGAAAATTTGAGTCTCTGAAATTTTGTAAGTTCAACATTTAAATTGTTATGTGGCATTTGAAATTTTGTTCTGCATTAGTGTTTGATAATCACTAACCAAATTTCTAAGATAGTTTGTTTTCATTTCATTGGCAGATCCATAATTCATCAAAACTCTCTCACACTAACAGGCTCCTATTGTTATTAATAACAGTCTCATTCTATTTTGTGGGCTGATGGGCCAACAAATAGGCACAACAGTTGGCAAATTTTTGAACAAAAACCTAACTAATTACCACATCCCCTTCTAAACTGCTTGAGATATCTCGCAAGTCGCAATCTTGATCCTCTCCAGCTCCTTTTTATTCCATGGGCTTGCGGGCCCATGCATCGGATGCACTTCAGTTGGGCCGCGGGCTTTGCATGGAGTCCACGTACTACGTCTACGCATAATATAATACACCGAAGGGAAAAACGGGAGCCCCATTTCAAATTTCCTGCAACGAGAGTGAAAGTAGGAAGGACACCATTTTAAGGAAAAGTAAGGATCATAACCAATCACACTAAGTACATTTGTTGCATCTTTTTAAATTAAAAAGATATAATAGCAGAGAGGAAAAAACCCTTCCCCCATTTCAAATTTCCTGCTCCAGGAGCGTTTGTAGGAATGATAGAATAGGAAGTGTCAATTTTTTCCTCTTTCCTCTGTGGAACGGGCCAACTTACCGTACACATGCGGATTTAAACGGGTTCAAGAGTGTCAATTTTTTCATTAAGCCCTTTTATTTCTCCGTGGTGATAAAATATATATGAAGAGGCAAAAACAATACTTCTTTTTATTGCTAAAAATAAAAAATTTAACAATAAACTAATGCATGGTATCTAATGGACTAACCGCTAACCATAAAATAAAAGAGTTGAATTGGTTTGACCTACACGGGATTTGGCCAGCAAGTAAAACAAATGAACATCATTGGTTTGACATTCTAAAACAAGCTATTTTCTCTGGCATAATATATTATGCTATTATTTTATATCTTAGTGGCTAAAATATAATGTATTTTAAAGTTATTCAATGGTTCAACCTCGACCAACCCAATTAGTCCAATTTTTATCATTTCAAATATATATTATATAATTATTTGATATCATAATGATCAAATCATAGTGTATTTTATAGGGAATCGTTTGGTATTTGTTAGTAAAAAACTAAACAGAAAGATCTATTTGGTTATTTTAAACATTAAAACGATCCTAACATTTTCAGTTCCTTTTGAATTTCTATGGTTTTATTCCCGAATAAGTGATGTGCAAATGGCAGTCATCTCTTTTCTTTCACTATTTTTTATTTTCAAATAAAAAGTTTAAAAGTAAAGAATAATTAGAATTTGGCATGGGTCGGTCAAACAGGCTGCATTTCAAGTTTTGGCCCCTTTTGATCAAGTCTAATTTATAATCACATGGTTCCCTGATACCCGATAAAAATCTCAATCCAAACCAGTTTGGCAGGTGAGTCCGTGTTTACCACCATTTTCTAGGGATACGACAACGACGGTTCCTATCCCAAATCGTGTTGTTCGTTTTTTATTTCCTTAGATTTTATCATAGCCTGAAAAAAACCAGAAAGTACAATGACGACAAGATGAAAGTTTTATAAACCAAATTAATCGGCCAACGGGCCGAGTAAAAGCTAGCAACGATTGTGAGATGCTCATTTCCCGAAAACCGACGGGATAAGCGATTTTTTATTCAATTTTCTGGAATTCAGTTTCTATAAAACTTACTCCACCTCATCATATTACCAGAAACAATATTGTTTCACAAGGTAACAGGTACTTGATTTTAGTTCATAAGGCCGATTTTTGATTTGTTGCATCATTAATGTTTCTTTCCTGCTAAAATTCACTATTTTTATCACGTGTTTCCCAAAAAAACTATACAACAATAAGTTATACACCCCATTACATTATCAAATTTCATACCTCACCTTCCTCTAGGGATGAAAACAAAATCCGAACCCATGGGTACCCACCCTACCCAACTCGGTCAACGCGGGTAAAATCCGTGTTGACGGGTTTTGGGCCGGGTTTGGGTGTAAACCCGTTCAATATTCATCGGGTTGGGTTGGGTTTGGGTTTAGGTAAACCCGACCCATGGGTACCCGCCCACACCCATATAATTAATTTTCTCGATATATTTAATATTCTAAACAACTTATCTTATTTATGTTTGTGGAGACATGTCTAATTTTTTCTTTCTAATTGTGTAGAATGAAGTTGATGTTATCGAGTGGAGAGTGAAGAAACTTAATTGAAAGGAAGAAGCTTTCAATTAATCATGTTATTTATGGATAATTTGTTATTTGCTTGAATTTTCTAGAATGGTATTTTATATATGGATAATTTGTATTGAGAGATTGATATTTGACTTTAATTTTGATAGCAACTTGTTATTGTAAATTTTTTAAGACAAAAACCTGTGGGTACCCATGAACCCGCGGATACCCAGGGGGTTGAGTTGGATTTGAGTTTTTCAAACCCAGTGGATTTTACCCCGAATTTTTTTCACGGATAAACCCATGAATTTGGATTTGAATTTGGCAAAACCCGACCCAACCCGACCCATTGCCATCCTACCTTCCTCCGGCCAACTGGCCGGGCCCAACACCAGTACGTTAATACATTCCCATCGTGCTCTTCTAATGGACTTCAGTTGGGCCGGTGTTAGGGTCAAGAAGAGTGTCATTTATCAGTTATCACCTCCCACAAGAGATGTTAGTAAAATCATAGTTAGCAAAAATATACTCTGGATAAGTTATGGATAAAATATGTACGAATATTTTAATTGATTAATTCTTTTATAAATGTAATAGTATGTCAATAGTAATGAAATATACATAATTAATTGTTTTAATAATAAATTAATATATAAATTATAGTTAAATTAACAATTTAATTCATTAAATATGAATATTAAACATGTTATATAAGTTTTATACATGTTCAGTGTAGGAGCCATTAAATGAACGGAAAAAATGAAACGACTTGAAAATTATACGGATACAGAATTTTTAAGTAGATAAAATACGTACGTCCATATATACGTGTAATAAACGAAAACTATGAGTAAAATACGGTACGAGTAAGTTACGTATAAAACAAATCCGGGTATTTTACTTTGTCTTTAAACTAATGATACGTTTAATAGTACTTCAATAATTATAAAATATATAAATTTAATTATTTTTTTAAAAAATAATATGTAAATAATAGTTAAGTTAGCCATTTTAATTTATTAAATACGGATATCAAACGTGTTATACGGGTGTTATACATGTTTAGTACGGGAGCAATTAAATGAACGGTAAAAAAATGACCTGACAATAATACGGATATAGAAATTTTAAGCGGATAATATACGTACTATTGTATATACATGTATTAAATGAAGTATTTCCTAACTACGATGGGATGGATGTAATGATAATAACCATACTATATTGTGTACATTATGTTGTTGCTAGTTGTTCTTGTTTAACCTTGGTTCGTTGTTCTGAAATATCGAGTGGACTTATATTTATTAATGCCACGAACCAAATACGATATACAAGCACGTATTTGTAGGATTGTAATAAGAAAACAAAAGAAAGTGATTATTTTGGGACCCATATTTATCCGAGCCTCACACAACAATACATTTCCAAAAGATAGAGCAAATATTAATTAGTAGTAGTAAGAGGGAAGAACCCATTATTCAGAAGGGTAAAGTAGACACATATATAGATTTGTGAATCCAGACGTTCATCTTGTTAATTTTTCCATTCCGGTTCACCATGACCCGCAGCAAGATCCGCAAGGCTGGCCTATGATCGAACAAGCACAGCAGAAATTATATTTGCAGCCTGAGTCATACGACTTACATGATGTCTTCTGGGTGGATGCGCTGCCTTCCGCTACCATCTCTGCAAATACACCACTCTTTACAATACGCACATAAAGTATATAATCAATCATGCAATCTACGAATTCTGTAACGTATAATTAAGGTATGAACAAGCTGATGATCATTGTTGTAGTAAAAAAAAAAAAAAAAAGAATTTCTACGTAGAAACGTTTAGGTGATTTAGAAGAGTAAAATCGTAAGTTTTTTTTTAAGTTTTTTAAAGCGGAGTTTTTAACTACATGAATTGTAAAAATTGAGATTTTGTGTAGAAACGTTTTAGTGACTACGTTTTTAATTTTTATAAAGCCTCCGACGGTCAGGTTATCGACGGGAAGGTTGCGAGATTCTTTTGTTAATTCTCCTTTACAAGCGGAAAACTGTTCCGATTCTCAATGCAGTTATCTTGACGGAGCCAGGATCCAGTCCCAACGTGTATCAGATACGATTGTCAGAGGTTGACGATTGCGTTGAGACAGGGATCCGAGCCTTTGGCCCTGGCAATGCCGGGCAGCCGCCTTGCCCGACGAGTGGTGTCCATTCTCTGTGCTTCTCCTTGGATTTCGATTGAGCTTGTTCCCTGATGATTTAATAAGTTGGTTGATTGGATCGCAAAGGAACTCTCGGATCTTGATCTCCTTCCCTCAGAATGGTGTCGTTGTCGACCTTGTCGCTCCATTATTGTAATTGTAATGATTCCCAATGTTTGGGTTTGGAATGAAATGACTGATGTTTGATGTAAAAAAAAAAAAAATTAAGCGCGATTTTGACTACATTGACTGACTGCTGCTACTTACCATGGTTGGAGCGGGGGATCAATGGGGCCGCAGCCATGGATGGAGGCAGCATGGCGACATGAAGGAAAGCAAGCAGAAGCAGGCCGAACCCGATCACCACAGCTTTGTTGGAGTTCATCCTCAGAAAGCAGTGGGAATATTAGGGATTCTGTTGTTATCCGGCTGCTGGAATACGTTACGTTGATGATGGTGGGATATATATGTTGCTGTTGGTGGTTTATATAGGCAAATTAAGGTAGCAGAGTTGATTGATTTGGTCTCCCGATCGAGAAGCTCTACCATCACCGATCTAACAGCTAGCAAGAGGGTATAGCAGGGATGGATTGGATAACTGTGTAAAATACAATAATTAACATATACTGATCGAGTTACGTTTCCATTAATAACTTCGCGTTCATTGTCAGTTCTTAATGCCATTGCTTGTTACCTTGTCCTTTGTATTGTAGCAGTGGGACGGCTTCACTCGGTTTAGGCGGCTGAATGGCCGATTCTGAGAAACACTTCGTTTGGAGAACGGGAGATTTAGATTGTGAATTCATTGAATCCGTAGATTTTGTAGAAAGTTATGTTTTTTTCTTTTGTTGTTTTTTGTATTGTGGATTTTAGCATTAGAGATTTCAAATCTCTAAAATCTATGGATATCAAATCTCTCATCATCAGAGAGATTCTATATCTTGATTCATGATATTTTTCTTCCTACCTTTTCTCTTTCTTTATTTATTTATCATATTAAATGGTGCCTTCTACGGTACCCCGGGTGAAATCCGGGATACCGCATACCTTGAGTATGAAAACACTATCTAGACTTTGAATTAGCAGGATTTTTTGGCATGATACTATACCCTAATCCTTAATGAGTGAACTCTAGGTCCTAATTATCTAAATCAAAACTATAAACCCTAAGATGGTGCATTGATTTTTTTTTTGCATATATTTGGACGAATCATAACCGTCGATTATTATTTCTAATTAAATTGATTTTGGGGTATAAGATTTAGAGAATTAAGACCTAAATTTTGATCTTTATGGGTTACAGTATAGTATCATGTCCGAAAGATCAGTCAATTCAAGTTCTGGATAGCGTTTTCTTACTTAAGGTATGCAGTACCCCGGATTTCACTCGGGGTACCGTAAAACTCCGACCCCCATATTAAATATATTTACTAACAAAGTTTTTAATATTTCTCAAACTACTCTAATTTATTATTAAGGATAAACATGTTATTTCATATAAAATTTTTATATTTATTTTCATTGAATGTTAATAATCACAGTTACCAAACAACAAACATTTTAAAATTTATTTTCAACAATCCGAAGAGTTAGAATTTTTAGATTGTTGACAATCTATAGATTTAAACTCTTCTTCTCCAAACCGAGACTTGTTTGAAGTTCATGGAATATGAGCCGGCGGAAAATATTAACGTCCCCACGCGAGTTCCGTATCACCACATCCATCGGTGGGATTAGGATCCAAAATCTTTGGACCGACACTATTAAAGTACGACATATACGCTAATCGAGAAATCAACGTCGTTATGGTTCGTAATTACTTTTATTCATTTGCCAGATGATAGCAATGGTAGTGCACCCAGCTGCTTTGTTCTATAATTATCTTTGAATCTTAAGTATCCTACTCTAATCATGATATGAGTAACGGTGTAACACCCGAAGTTATGCGTTAAAACCCAATCCAAACTAAATGGTCTGGGTTTCCCCGATATATAATTTTCTGAATCGCCAAATATCGCCCTTAAAATTGTTAACGGTCGCCCTAACTCTAATGATAAATTACTTATATACTCACAATAAAGTTTTAAAACTTAAACAAACCAAACTATCCCTAACTCCTCAAATTGAACCCCTCATATGCTTTCTTCGTGAATCTCTCTCGACGCACCAGTTCGCCGGCGCCTTTACCGCCGTCGTCGTCGCCCGTTCTCTACCGAAATTTCAGAAAAAATGCTCAACCTAAGGTAAGTTACGATTGGTCCATGGTGCAACCGCAGCTCACTTGCGGTTGGCCCATGGTGGAACTGCAAGTGAGTTGCGGTTGGCCCATGGTGGAACCGCAAGTGAGCTACGGTTGCACCATGGACCAACCACAGCTCATTTGCGGTTGTACCATGGACCAACCGCAAGTGAGCTGCGGTTGGCCTATGGTGCAATCGCAAATGAGCTACGGTTCCCTTTTTTTTGTTTTTTTTCAATTTTTGGAGTGAACTTTACCGATTAAGAGTCGCTAGTCATGATCCAGACGTCCTATTGACGATTCCAAATCCAGAATGGCGATTATGGATTCTCTCTTTTGAATAAGGAAACATCGATTAGATAATGAACTATTGGTTCTAAGCCATCTCTGGCGATGAATCAAGAACTCGAAGTGCTTTTCTTGCGTATTCTTGATAAACCATATTTTATTTTCTTTACTAAGTGGTGTTTGTTTGCTAAAGGTAAAGTAAAGAAGCTAAAAGGTTAAATTTGTAACTTTAATGTTTTTTAGGGCGACATTTAAAAATTTTAAGAGCGACCTTTAGCAACTCCGATATTATTTTTGTTGTTGTAAAATGACGTCCTGCTAAGAAAATTTCCAATACACAAACTGATAGATATGGCTTAATTGCAAGTTTGGTCACTCGAATTGCTAAAAAATTTCACGTTTGCCACTCAAATTAATTTATTCCATTTATAGTCACTCGAATTAGTTAAACAGTTCAAGTTCGGTCACTCTCCGTTAATCTCCGTTAACTTTGACTGACGTGGCGGTCAACTCTGACAGTTGACCGTTAAATGTGTGACGTGGCAAATAAAAAATAATATATTAAAAAAATTTAATTATTTAAAATTTACACCTCATTTTTACATACATTAATCTTTAAGCGATAAAAAATCTTTCTTTTCTTCTCTTCTTCACGTAATCCAATTTCTGAAATTCTCTGGCCTCGGATATCTCTTCTGAGGAACTTCCGTCAACGTTCCAGGTGGGGAATTGGATAAAAAAAATGCAGCGCTAGCCCCCGCCGCAAGCAGGCGCAGCCAAGCTCCAGCAAAGCCAAAGCCGCTGCCACCGTCGAGACTGTCCGTCATACTACTCGACCAAGGAATGTTGACAGTTTACAAACGGCTGTTCACAGTTTGCTTAACACTCAACATCCTCGCTTTAGTCCTCGCCGCCACCGGAGACTTCCCTTACGCGAGAAACAGAGCTGCTCTGTTTCCAATAGCCAACATCTTCGCTCTAACTCTCTGCCGGAGCGAGGCCTTTCTCCGGATCGTATTCTGGCTCGCCGTGAAACGTCTGGGGAGATCATTTATTCTGGCTCGTCTATGCTCTGTTTCTCACCCTGAAAAACAGAGCCGACACTTCCTCTGAAATCATAGCGAAAGCATCCGCCATTCTTTCCCTTCTTGGATTCTCGTGCTTAGCAGCTTTCCCACTCGTCCGCCATCTCCACCACAATTTATTCGATCGAGTCCATCGATTCACAGGCTGGACGTCGCTCTGCCTTCTCTGGGCGTCTGTCACTCTCACAATCACGTACGACAGAGCAACCAAATCTTACATCAACGAATTGGGTTCGAAATTAATCAAACACCAGGAGTTTAGGTTCACGATTGTGATTTCTATTCTAATCATCATCCCTTGGCTGACCGTGAGACGGGTTCCGGTCAAGATCTCGTTGGGCCACGCCTCGTTGATCAAATTCGAAGGCAGGGTTAAACCAGGGATACTGGGGAGAATCAACCCGTCCCCGTTGTCGGAGTGGCACGCGTTTGGGATAATTTCCGTTGTCGGAGTGGCTTGCGGAGGAGGTGTACAGGAAGCAGTCGTCGTGGGTGATGCTGAACTCGAGGTTGAGAGACGAGATCAAGATCTCGGTGGCGAGGAAAATCGGCCAGGAGGTTTTACGAGCGGCATCGGTGGAGAGGAACGATCTGGCGGTGGAAAATAATAACTAAAAAAATTAGGATTTTTTTAATTTATAATAATTAGCTGGAAAATAAAAATAAAAAATAATATTATTTTGTTATTTTTTAATTGCCACGTCACACATTTAACGGTCAACTGTCAGAGTTGACCGCCACGTCAGTCAAAATTAACGGAGATTAACGAAGAGTGACCGAACTTGAACTGTTCAACTAATTCGAGTGACTATAAATGGAATAAATTAATTTGAGTGGCAAACATGAATTTTTTTAGCAATTCGAGTGACCAAACTTGCAATTAAGCCTGATAGATATATTAGAGTTAGACCACAGGATGAATTATGCCATTCTACCATAATACCAATGGGCTGGACCTGATCAGTTAGCGTCCTGCTAAGAAAATGTCCAATGGGCCAACTCAGGTACCCAACCGGCAGGCTTTAGAGACTATAGATTTTGTGATAGCCTGTAAATACAATAACTCTTTCTAACTAATGTAAATAGAATAATTTTTTTTATACTCATGTAAATACACTAATTTTACCAACTTTCCGACTGAGATTTTATTATTGACCGTGTGCATTTTGTAACACCAAATCAAGCATGTTTAACCATGAAGTTTCTATGGTAATTTTCATTGTACTTAATGGAGTTGGACGGAAACTAACGGGAGAGTGACTAAATGTGACATGTTTCAGTAATTTAAGTGACCAAAATTGATATTTAGTTTTTCTAGTGACTAAACATGACTCGATCTAATAAGACAATGTACATTAAGATAAGGTTTCAACTATCTTATATTTGGTACGATAATTCGAAATATCAACCTCGCAGCATAGTATAAAGTAGTTGATCAAGATAATAAAATAGAGGAAACTCCACGTCCTCACTCTTGGTCTTCACTCCAAATGCACCTCGAGTTTAGTTTGCTCAGCGTTCATTACATGTTCTCTAGACCAGTTGGCTCACCAAGACATGTTCGATCTTAATTTGATTGATTCTTGTCTCCTTTATCATCATATCACCATTTATTGATTCTTCTCTTTTCCTTCTCCTTTCTCTTATCAAACTGACTTACTCTAAGTTCTTAAGATGCAAATTTAAAATGAAAGGTCTTTAGGGTGGTTCTGTTTGTTGCTCTTTCTTCGTTTTGCAGCTTTGTTTTGTTTTCATCCTCTCCTTTCCTTCTATTTCTGGATCATGCCTTGCGATCCTGGGTTATGGTTGAAATATTCTGTACTTTGTTTTTTTTCCCTTCTTTTATTTAATAAATCTTCACCCTTATAAAAAAAATTAATGAAAGTTCAAAGTCCACTTGGTCACGTGGCTAAAGTCCACTCCTTTAATCGTAGGATTCCATATTCCTCAAGGAGAGGCCATTTGGAATAACATTAAATTGTATAAACTAATCCGTGAAAGACATAATTTTGTCAAGAAAGAACCAGTAGATCCCAATAACTCGAATTATTGGAAGAGGTTCAATCATGTATCATATACTACAAGACTTACCTAAAGGATTATTGCTTCTCGCGATCTATAAGAGCCTCCAATCAATGAAATTACAAAGCCAACTATATATATATATATAGTTCTTATCATCATCTTAATCACGTTGTCAATATATATAACTCGTGTTAATTTCCCTTGCACATATATAATAATTTTGCCATATCCGCCGGTCGATTTGTCTTCTCCAGTATTTTAAAACAATTTCTCCAACATTTTACATATGGATCATTCAATACATCAAGTTGAGAAACGACACGAATATATATAACTGGCCCAAAAGCAACAGAGGAAAGAAGGAGAAAAACACTGCCCATATCGATCGAATTGGAGAAGCAAACGATCGAGAAGGCCGGGGTTTTTTCACGTATAAAAAGGATGGAAATATGGTCAGTTTACGCAGTTAATAATAATCTCAACCTGCCAATTAATTATTGATTAATTACCCATATACAGTAATGGGTTACACCACATTTGCTGCAGTTATTATACTGGTCGGGCACTTGAGCGGTTTTGTTAACGGAGATCCGATCTGCGGCGGAACTCCGGCGAGAGATCAGAAGACGTTCGCCGGTAATGTACATTGTCTTCTCGACATTCTGGTGAGCGGTACGGCGTCGTCGGTGCACCGAATTCCTGGAGAGGGGATCAGCTATACAATTAATTGTCCAGCGCAAGGCGCTCCGGGTTCCGCCAGAGGCACCGCCACGTGTTCCGACAAGGGAGACGAAACTGTGAGCGACTGCGCGATCTGCCTTAAGCAGCTGCTGCCGTACCTGCAGGAATGCGAAACGACGTCGTCCAGCGGCGGAGCTTTCTACGAAGGGTGCAAGATTCAGTTCTGGGAAATTATATAATGACTGACCAGATAGTACCCGTATACCCTGTCTAATTTATCGTATGCTATATAAAACACCTGTTTGAGGTTTATGGATTAGCTGATGTATTTTACTTCATTTGAAGTTGTATTTTCGGTTTCATTTGTTTGACAAAATAAGTTTACTTTCCAAGTCGTTTTTTTTTTCATTTGGTATCGGTTAAATTTTCTTTGGTTAACTTATAGCGGTTTGAAGTGTGAACATGCATGCCCATCATATATTATGTTCGAATTCATTGTGTGAGTTTTGAAGATTCGAACATATAACCATTTGGTAAACACTAATCTGATATCAATTCATCAATCAATTAATTTTACGAGCATATGACTTACTCTCTAAAAAGATGATCGACGTCTTTAACGAGACTCGTGGATTATATTATCTACTTGGCGACCTTGTTTCTCAAGCCAAAGTTGCTTCCAAAAACTTGAGAGTTCAACAGTGTGGCGTTCATGCTTTGGTCATTCTTCAAAGACCAAATTTATTGCACCAGATTAATTCATAGTGTGTTAGTCGATGATCACATTTATATTGTCATTCGTGCTTTTTTTCTTTATCATGTAATCTTTTTGTTCGTACTTGAAAGCTAAACAAATTAGTACTCCTTTTTACACCGTTCGATAAAGACTGGTAAATAATTTGAATGAATTCATATGGATTTATGGGTGGATATATATAGGGATCGGAGTAACTAGAAACCCATGATCTCGAAGCAGTTGGAAAGTTGAATATCAAAATAGACAAAGTAGCTAGAGATCGGGTGTGTATTATTTAGCGGTTGGATATCAGGTTCATTTTAATCGGGGCCGGATAGAATAACAACACCTTTAGTGTTGTTATAATAACAGCAGGGTAAAAGGGTCAATTAATAAATACATTAAAAATAAAAGAATAAATTAAAACAAAAAACAATTAAATACACGTTTCTGATTTCTCCGCTCCCAAATCTCAATCCCTACGGAACTCAATCGTCCCAGCGTTCCTTCTTCTTCCGGCGCCGGCACAAATCCAATAACTCTGGCTGGCACCACATCGTGGGGCGTGCAGTTTGCCTAGAGTCGGGTGAGGACACCGACGACAGCAAAGACGGCGGTCGCTCTTCGGAAATTCGCGACAACGGTGGTGGACGAGGAGTCGGCGGGCTGAAGAAGATCCGAATCCGAAGCCCTCGGGGGAGGAGTCGGCGGGCTGATCCACGGGTGGAAAACTCAAGCGTGCCGCTGGTGAAGTTGGAGTACAAGCCGAAGTTGGAGTAGCTCTCCTGTTCGTCGTCGTGGAAGGACCCGTGGTTTCGCCATCCTCTCCACGCCCTCTTCGTCGTTTCCCGCGCCGCCGCCGTCCTCTTTACTCGTCAGCCTTTCATCCTCTCGCTCACAATTACATCATCCTCCCCCATGCATCGTTTCCTTCGAAGGAGCTCAATCGAATGATAAAGAAGCTTCGAAGGGTCATGCTGTTGGTAATCTTTCAATAGAGTGATCTGTGTCTGAAGCAAAACCCTTGACAAAATATTTCCATGGCTTCTAATTGTTGAGCACTTCTACTATGCTATATAGTATTGGTGCTTTAATGTACAACTTAAAGTTGTACCATAATATTAAATGTATAAGTTTAGGTTGTACCATAAAGCAATTTGTACCATTATGTTATGGTACAACTTTACAACTTGAAGTTGTACCATCACTTAAAGGTACAAGTTCAAGTTGTACCATAAAAGAATTTGTACACAAAGTGTAGGTACAATCTGAAGTTGTACCATAACGTAAATGTACAATTTTAAGTTGTACCATAAAGACAAAACCCTATAGCACCAATACTATATAGCATTGTAAAATTTCTCCTAATTGTTTAAAGTATATATATGTTTGTGCAAGGGTTGCATTCCTCTGCTGTTCTTCTGTATTTTTTTATGACGGGATCCAAGCTTATACATGCACTTGAGGCAAATTCTTAAAAGTGGATGATGTGAGTACACAATCTTTACCTCGCCAGCAGCTTGCTGCTGCTCTTCCCCGAATCCAGGAGGCGATGTTGGCTTGGATTCTTCTGTTATTCATCCTTAATGCACCAGTAGGTTGTTTCTTAAGTATTCCCGTCTTAAAGAGAAGTAATTAATGTGCTTGTTGTTTTAGTTAGTAAATATAGGAATATGATTTTGTTACGTATAATGCAAATAAAAACGACGTAAAGCACAAAATTTTCGAAAGCACACCAAAAAACTCATAATGCAAATTACAACCGCCGTAAAGTAAACCACAAAAAAGCAAACCAAAAACCTACTAGTGCGGACCACAAATCCATTAAAACGAACCAGAAACCCCAAAAATCAAACCATAAAATTTTCGAAAGCACACCATAAACTTCTTAATGCAAACCAGAAACCTCCTAATGCATACCACAAATCTTCTAAAACATACCAGAAACCCCACAAAGCAAACCACAACATTTGCGAAAGGACACTAGAAACCTACTAATGCAAACCACAAACACAGTAAATCAAACCACAAAAAAGCAAACCATAAACGTCCTAATGCAAACCACAAATATATTAAAACAAACCAGAAACCTCACAATGCAAACCACAAAGTTTTTGAAAGCAAACCAGAAACTTCTCAATGCAACCACAAACACGATAAAGCAAACCACAAAAGGCATAAAAAAATATGAGAAATCAAACCATAAATCTCACAATGCTAACCATAACATTCGGTGATCGTTGACCGGTCAACGAAAACCGTTGACAGAACTCCGATGACCGTCAGTGACCGATTCCGACCCCGATAGGCATATTCCGGCCCCGATGACTAGATTCCGACGCCGGTAAGCATATTCCGGCAAAAAATAGCATATTCGGGCGACAAAAAACATATTCCAGTGACCGGCGACCAGTGGCAGAATTCCGGCGACCAAAATTTTGGACAGAAAATAAAAAAATATTTATTTTTTATTATTATTTAAACATGTTTTCAATAATTGTACCCCTGTTTTGATTTTACACTAGGTCAACTAAGCTAATAAAAAGTCATCACAATCCTAGCTTCCTATTGATTGGAGACTAGTGTTGTTACAATAACAACAAATATGGTGTTGTCACCATATCCGCTCCCATTTTAATCGAATAAAAAATGAAAAATATATATTTTCTTGAAATTAAAACGAAATCGTTAACCAAATAGGTTTTTTTTTTGTTCTTCTTCTTACGTTCTAATTAACTGAATGTGTTTTGAACCAAACGGATAAAATAAAATTCTCTAACCAATTGTAAATTCTAAAGTAAATGAAAGTCTCTTCTGGATTTCTTATTGGTTTAAATCAATGATGTCAAAATCGAACCGAAGTATGATTCGATAACGTGAACGACCCACATTTTTTAGTGATCTAAAGTTTCCCGGAACTAAATTATACACCTTGCTAGATAGCTCCTCCTTGTAGAAGAGACGTTGTTTCGCATTGATGCATTCATCGGATTTACAAATCAATTTCCTCTTTTATTTAGAACATTTACAACACGTTTTGCTCCTACGTTTACACTGTAGCCATAGAAAAATAAAGAAAAGAAGGAGAAAAACACTACCTACTTACCGTCACCGATCGAGTGGGACAGACAGAAAGCAAACAAACGAGATCGATCTCTCCTTAGCCGGAAAATTACTATATATATCTGAATCTGCCATTTACAAAATTTCAACAAGACAACAACAATGTGTTACTACAACTACACCACATTCAAAGCAGCCGTACTCGTTATTACGGTCATTGTAGGGCGTGTGCATGGAGATTCAATCTGCGGGCCAACTCCGGCGAAAGACCAGGCGACGTTCGCCGGTTATCTGGATCATCTTCTCTACGACCTGGTGAAGCACAGCGTAAACCATCTCCCGCCACCTGGAGCAATGGTCATCACCTATACGGCGACGTATCCACCGGAAGGCGGTCCTGGCTCCGTCACCGGCACTGCCAGGTGTTACGAAGTGGGATACGGTAGTGTGAGCGCATGCGCTATTTGTCTCAACGACATGTGGCCGTATTTGCAGCAGTGCGAGACCACGTCTTCTAGCGGAGGAGCTTACTATGGCGGAAGGTGCGACATTGTGTTCCACGAGAACACTACGTAGTTAGGGTTTTCGTTTTGCAGATTAGAAATAAATATCATAACAACGTACCACAAATCTTATAAAGCAGACCACACTATAATTACTATAAATCATACCACAGATCGCATACATCAGAAACACGAGAAAGTAAAACATAAATATCCTAAAACGGAGACACAGATCTCACAAAATACACCATGAATCTTATATAGAGCATGTTTGGAGGTTGGGATTCTCCAAATAGATAATGCATTTAATCAATCTGTGTATTATCATTTGATGTATTGATTCAATGCATATATTCTGAAAATACCTTGTTTGGAGGGATTATGATGGAACAAAAATGGTGTAGACAATCCCTAGCTTGTTAACAATCTCGCATTTTGGTAGAGTTTTAGGGGGGAAGTTGGAATACCAGATGATGTATTTATTAGCTAATACATGTAATCAGAAGAATTCATCATATTTTTGTCTTAATTAAGCGCTCGTTTGCAACCTTCGATTTCAGATATTGTATTCTCAGTATATAAGTATATATCTTGAGAATACAATGTTTTTTGACTTGATGTAATAACAGAATGCATGTATTCATAATACATATTGTATTCCCAATACATAGAAAATAATGTATTCATAATCTTACCTTTTTGGTGAGATTTGAGTATCCATGAGTTCCAAACAATAAATTTTCAAAACCACACATTCTTAGTATACACATAATCTTTAATACACACATTCTCGTAATACATCATTTCCAAAATGTTTGTATTTGAACAACCACTGTGACCACCAGAATCATTCATTATGAATGATTGTCAATCTCAGCTCTTAGCAGAGATTGTCTTTCAAGGATTATTGGTTTACTTTTTCTTCCTTACCAACCAAAATCATCCAATCTCCAAACAATGTATTTTTCAAATTCATATATTGAAACAATGCATCTAATTATAATACATACATTGATTAAATGCATCAACTTAGAGAATCCTAACTTTCAATCATTCATTTTGAGTGATTGTAGATGAGCCAAAAAGATAATACATACATTGTAACTCAAATTGAACAAAAAAAAAATGACTTACCATAACATATATTGGCTAAATATCTCATTATAAAGCGGAGGGCACGAAAATTTGTAACACTTAACTGAGATAAAGGCGAATGGCTCGAAAATAGTGACCAAAAAAATTCCTGGCAAACGGAATGGAAAGTACAACAATTCAGAAAAAAAAAAAAAGAGAAAAATACACACACCAGCAGCTGGTAACATATTATTTGGTCACTCGGTATTTTCCCAGAACTGAATTATGCACTTCCCTGGATATTTGGCTCCTCCGGAGGAAGACGTGGTTTCACACTTGTGCAAAAACGGCAGCAGCTGGTTAAGACACGTCACGCAATTGGCAACGTTGACGGAGTCACAAGTGGCGTCGCCTGTAACGGAACCAGGACCGCCTTCCGGTGGATATCTCGCGCTGCTGGCGAGGAACGGTACGCCGGCCGGCGGTGTATAGCCTGTGGTGCGCTCCACCAGAATGTGAAGAAGAGCATCCACATAACCTCCGAACGTCGCCTGATCTTTCGCCGGAGTTGCGCCGCAGATCGGAGCATCATCATCGGCGCTGATCGAGTGTCCCGCCAATATAACAACTACTAGTACTGCTGTTGCTGCGGCAGCAAACCTGTTGTAGTTGTTGTAATCCATTTGTTATTGTGATAATTAGTAAATGAGAGGTTGAGATTATATATATGTATTAATATGTAGGCAATTAATGGTCTTCTAGACGTTAGGTAGTGTTTTTCACCTTCTTTACTTTCTTCTTTTTGGCCACTATGTAAAACGTAGGAGAAAAATGTACATGTGCTTTTTGTAAAAGAATGTATGTACAAAAGCTTGAAGACAATGATCAGCATAATTGCCGGGGAATTCTATACTGCATATGCGATAAGCAGCATATCAGCTTGAAGACAATGATCAGCATAATTGTTCAAGGTCATGCGCATGCCAGCTTAGAGCCATTGAGAGGTAGAAAAGGGAGGGTGGTTCAGGTGAATAAGGTGGTGCTTAGTCATTTGACTAAATCGAAGTTATACAAAACGGACTTATAAACCATACAAACGGTACAAACTAGAACGACAAAACATACAAACAGATTTACAAATAATACAAACATATCAAATGTACAAACAATACAAACCATACAAAAATAAGAAAAAAAACAACCGGGTTGACTTTGTAGGTTCCATCCCTATATAGAGTGGCTTCGTCCCAAAGTCAACCCGGTTGTTTTTTAGACATACAAACATTACAAACATGGTGAACAAAAATGACAAACTAGACCGACAAATCATAAAAACTAGAAAAAACACTCGGGTTCACTTTGGATCCGGTCGCAACTACTCAAACTGCTCCTTTATTCTCTGTTGCTGCTTCTAGTTTGGGGTCTCTTACAGGTTGATTCTTTCTTCAACATACTTTTCATTAAATTCATTGATCTTGATAAATGATAGTGGCGTCACTAACCATGTAGTGTCTGTCATGTACACCTTATCGATTACTATAGAACTATTGATAATATGCATGTTTCACTACCTAATTAATGGCATTAGGGTTAAGGTTACACATTCAGGAAGCATTCAAGTCGCTCCCAAATTAACCTTTTATGATGTTCTTTGTATTCCTGTTTTAATTTTAACTTGATTTCCGTATCTGAATTAGTTCAAAAATCCAATTGTGTGTTAAGTTTTCATGCTGAAACTTGTTTCATGCATGATCTTTCGTCCCAAAAGACGATTGGTACAACCAATATGGCCTATACCATGTTCAAGTTCCATATAATCATGGATCTCATTCTATCCCTTCCTCTTGTAATGTTTGTTTCAATTCATTCATTACTTCTTTTGATGTCTGGCATTATCGTCTTGGGCATACTGCCATTCCTATGTCTATTCTTTTAGACATTTCTGTCATGTCTTCAATTAGTTCTATTAAGAATCATTGTACTATTTGTCCCTTGGCTAAACAAAAACGACCTCCTTATTCCTCTAGTCTTTTTCATTTTTCTACTTTGTTTGAAATCTTACATCTTGACATTTAGGGCCCTTATCAAACACCAACTGTCGATGGGTTTAGTACTTTCTTACTTGTGTTGATGACTGTTCTTGACATACTTGTATTTACCTTCTTAAAACCAAAAGTGTAGCTAGGCTATATATATCAGTACACAATTTTCATCTAAAATTAAAGTCTTTCATCTAAAATGAAAGTCCTTCATATTGACAAAGAAAAACAGTTTCATGTTCCTTTTTTTATTCATTTGGAATTATTCACCAAACTACTTGTACTGCTACTTCACAAGAGAATAGTAGAGTAGAATGCAAACACCAACACATTTTGACTGTGTTTGCGTGCTCTTATGTTACTTTTTTTTCCTTTTTTTATAAGGGTGATATAGGTTTTTTTTTTGTGATTAAGGTACTACTTAAGGGTTTCAAACATGGTACCTCCAGGTTCTAGGCTAGTGGTATTACCACTAGACCAAGCCCTTGTTCGTTGCTCTTATGTTTCAAGCTTCAGTTCCTATTGGTTTTTGGGGATTTGCGATTCTACATTCTGTTTTTCTTATCAATCGTTTGCCAACTCCAATTTTACATAATAAATCCCCTTTTGAGCTCCTTTATAACACCAAACCTTTCTTATCCTGACATAAAAGTTTTCGGATTTCTTGGTTGTGCTTCAACCCTTCAACACAACAGGTCTAAATTTGCTCCTAAAGCTAATCCGATCCTTTCTGTGTTTTTAGGGTATCATCATTCCATTAAAGGGTATCGGCTATACAATCTGGTCACACATCAGATCTTCTTCTCTCGAGTCACAATATTCCATGAACACGTTTTTCCTTATCTAAATCTTAAGGATAAACTGGACTTTGATGTCTGTTTCTCCAATATTCAAGTTCCATATTCATTTTTTAGACTCTATTTCTCCTCCAGGGTTTAGTTCTAGTTCTCTTACTAGTGAACCTTCATCACCATCACCTTTTGTTTAAGCTCCTAAACTGTCGGCCATGTCTGGTAACCCCCTTTTAGATCCATCTATTTATAAAAGGCTTATAGGCAGAGTATTGAATCTTTGTAATACCCGTCCTGACTTAGCGTATGCTGTCCACCAATTAAGTCAGATTACTCACTTTCCTACTGATGTTCATTTAAAAGCGGATGAACGTGTTCTTAGATATATTAAGGGTGCAGTTGGGTAAGGTTTGTTATTTTCTAGTGATCGATTCTACTGTGAAGTTGCAGGCATTTTGTGACAGTGATTGCGCTGGTTGCCCTGACACTCTCCGATCAACAACAGGTTTCTGTGTCATGCTAGGGAACTCCCTCGTCAGTTGGAGGTCGAAGAAACAAAAGACCGTCTCGCGCTCTTCAGTAGAAGTCGAGTACAGATCAATGGCAAGCTTGACTTGTAAGATCATTTAGGTATCGTTTGCTTGTGGGATTTGGGTGATGGATTTGGTACCCAAATCCCAAGCATAATGGAATTGGCACAAGTCCATTGTTTGCTAAGGGACACAAATCCGTGGGGCCCACGGATTTGGACCCATTTTTTAGATCCAAATCCGTGGACCCCACGGATTTGCAAATCCCACATTTCATTTGGGATTTGATAATGGAATGCAAAATGTGAACAAATCCATCATGAATCTATTACAAAAATAAACTACACAAACAATGTACTCTTCCAAATCCATAATGCAACAAATCCATCATAAATCCAAAGGTTTTGAAAACTCAAAACCCTCATTTTCAAATCCAACAAGCAAACGAGCCCTTAGTTATACTATATTTTACAGGATTTACATATTGTCTTACCTACGGCTAGTCCCATATTCAGTGACAGTATGTTTGTCATAAATTAGTTGACAATCCTATCAATTATGAACGAACCAAACATATATATAGAAATTGATTGCCATGTTATTAGGTGTATCATATTTAAAATGGTGTAATCAAAGCGTTACATGTATATTCGGCTAACCAATTGGCATATATGTTCACAAAGTCTCTTCCGGTTTTTGTTTTTCGGTGTTTGCAGACCAAACTGGAACGTTTGGATATATACGCGCTAGCTTGCAGGGGGAGTTGTCCGAGAAAAAGTTGCAAAGACTTAATTGTAACTGATGTATAGTTTTAGGGCTATTTTGTAATGGTTATTTCATTACTGCTTTAATAGAATATCTAGGTTTATTATATATATGACAATGGCTGGCGTATTGTACGCCTGTGTTCACGCTTGATTTTTTCACTTCAATATATTTCGCTGAATCAGAACCGTCGGTTATTATTTTTTAGATCAACTGAATCTTGTGGATTGGGTTAGAGAATTAGGAACCGGGGTTCACCCATTAGAGGTTAAGGTATAGTATCATGTCCCAAACACCAATTAATTCGTGATCTAAATAGTAAAACTCGACCAGCGTACAACAATGTACGTGTTTCTCTCGTTCTTACATACATATATATATATAATAAAGTTGTATAAAATTCATAACTGGGTACTTCACCACCAACTCAACCTATTGGTACCCGATCAGTTTATAACATGATGTAGAAACAGGTTTGACGGAATAGGTTAGGGTGGTTACTCAATTTTGAGTAATCACGGTTGCTACCAACATCTATACCATTCATTATCTTTATTTTATTATATTTTTAAATTAACGATTAAGATTAGCTCAGGGTAATTTAGGAAACACCTGATTACTGTATATATTATACTCAAACCCTAATACAACCTATCTACCTAGCCGCCGTCTCTCCCTTCTCCCACCCCCGTCGGCGTCACTCCGCCGGACAGATTCTCAAAAACCGTCTGCGTCACCGGAGCCTCCGGCTACATCGCCTCCTGGCTCGTCAAGCTCCTCCTCTCCCGCGGCTACACCGTCAGGGCCTCCCTCTCCATTTCTTCGCTCTTTTCCATTTCCCCCCTTTCTCACCACCGCTCGCGGCGGTTTGTTTGTTCGCAGATGATCAGAGGAAGACCGAGCACCTCTGCGCGCTCGACGGAGCTTCCGAGCGGCTCCAGCTGTTCAAGGCGAACTTGCTCGAGGAAGGCTCGTTCGATTCCGGCGTCCAGGGCTGCGACGGCCACTGTACAGAATCCACCCCCATAGAATCACTCACTTTCCCCCAAACCAAACCCACAGTGCAAAAAAACAAACTAGGGATCTCAATCAAACTCCCCCCAGTAAATCATCTCTTCCCAAAATCATGCTACACTCCCTTGATCCGAGGCATCCTCGTAGTAGTACGGCGTCAGCTTGCCATCTTTCTTCCCCTCGGTCTTCGGCTGAGCTTCTCCCCCGATCTCCTGCAGCTGCTTCACGATCCTCCTCATCGAGGGCCGGTTTATGGGTAGATGACTCGTGCAGAGGATCCCAATGTTGAGAACTCTGCATATCTCCTCCCTGAAACAGGAGTCGAGTTTCGAGTCCAGGACGTGCTCGACCCCTTTCCGGCGTCCAGGGCTGCGACGGCGTCTTCCACACCGCTTCGCCTTTCTACCACGACGTCCAGGATCCTCAGGTTGGATTTCTCTGCTTTCTGATTTTTTTTTTCTTCCTCCCTTTGGTGACTGTTAGGTTCGATCTTGTTGTTCTGTGAGACTGGTAGTTGAGTTTTTAGGTTGTGCGCTGGAAAAGGTGGGATGAATAAAAACCCTAGATTTGATTTTTTTTCCGCATTGGTAGTGACTTTTTCGTAGTGGTAGTGTTTTTTTGCATTGGTATTGTTTTTGTCGCATTGGTATTGATTATCATGTAATGGTATTAATTTGCATGTATTGGTATGGATTCAATCTGCAATGGTATTGATTTTTTGTGAAATGATATAGATTTATATTGGTAGATTGTTTATATTGGTAGTTTTCGTGTAATGGTATAGATTTATTTCTGCAATGGTATTGATATTTTTCAAAGTGGTAGTGATTATCTAATGGATTGGTAGTGATTTCGTGTTTTTTTTCTTTTGCAGAAAAATTGAGAAAAATAAGGAAAAGGAATCTGGCTGAAGATTATGGAAGTGAGAGAAAGATGGAGAATTGTAATTAATAGATTCTTGTAACTACCTAAAATGTAATTTATTAAAAAAATTAATTAATACAATTTATTTGTCATACCCAATTTATCCTTAGTAACCACGACAAGAAGGAAAATTTAACTTTTTATTGGAAACGGAACGGATATTAAAGTACGTACAACCATTCAGAAGAAGTGAAATTAAAATACACCACATCTCAGCAGCAGCTGGTGTGATTGGATTACAGAGAGTTTTGAGAATGTATTTCTCTAATTATGATCATTGGGTTACAGAGTTTTGAGTAGGACCCTATTGCCGATTGGAATAAGATTAAATCGTGTAAACCAAACTCCTAAAAGACAAATATTATGCATTCTTACAACCTAGCTAGCTAACACCATTTTACATAACCGATTCTGATACAATATAATATGATAATGTTGTCTTGCAACAAGTTTGATGCTTTTTACCCTCGTGAAGTTCCATTTTAAAAAAATATAAATAATTTAATCTAATCAAGGATAAAGTTTGAGTTGCATAAGAGTGATCAGCGTAATTGCCGGCGAACTTTATATAGTGGCCAAAAAACCAACGGAAAGACTGGGGAAAGAAAACACTGCCTAACGAGGAAGAGCTGATTGTTATAGTGATTATTATACCACTGAATGTTAGAGATTTTAGATTTAAATCTTTAACTTAATAACAAAGATATATATATACATATATATATATATATCGCCCTTATAAATAAAAAGAGCAGGATGTGCCAAGGTAGATCTTTGTGAGAGACACATGAACTTTCACTTTCGCAATATGACCTAATATTTCTGCCACAAAAAAAGCAATAAAATAATGAATTTAGTTTTCATCATTGGTATATATAGTACATTTTAGTTTCTAAATAAATAGGATTATTACAAAATATAACTTCGTCTTCTAGGTCTCAATTCTTAAGTGTACTTTTCTTCTTTCATCAAATTCTCATATATTGAAACTCGCTATCTTCCTTTTACCTAATATTGAGTTTTCTAATAATTATATCTAGATTTTGAACCTCAATTAGATTACCATACGTGAAGAAGAGGTTGTCTACAACTATATAAAATTTCCGAGCTTTTTATGATCATGGTTATTCAAAGAAGTAACTCAACGTTGTTGTTGCATAAACCTTTACTGAAAGCATCGAAAGCACATGTGGAATGAGCTATGCGAAATATACTCTTTAGTATTGAATGAGTTGGAAAATCACGAATGATTATTTGATAAAATATATTGAAATTATTATCATAACAATGCATCTTAGATGTTTTCAAAATATGACACATTGCGTGACACTGGTCGGTCTAAAAAAAAATATTGATATTATGAAATGTCATCATATATAGTGGTATGTTGTTGGTATAATATATAGGGATAATATAATATGAAGCCATATATGTGAGCAAAAAATTCTGATATGACAGTTATATGATTGTGGTGTCAGCCTTCTCATAATAGAATGGTCGTGATATGATAATGATAAGATCATCACATCAAACATGTGTTTTGAAAGAGTTTTTTCCTTCTTCGAAATATCATAAAATGAATGTAACCGTGTATATCATAATTGATGAGTTCTTTATGCACATTTTTCAGATTTCAAGTTAAAACGGAGGAGATATTTCATCATATCATTGTCATATCATGTTTACGATTGCTATTATTTTAGTCAAAAAAGCAATCCGACAATTCGTCTCTAATTTAACCGGACAGAACCATATCCATACAGTGTGACGGATCCAAGGGATGGCCACCTACGATTATGATTGGATTATAGAAAGTTTTGCATGGGACCCTATTGCCGTTCGGAATAAGATTAAACCGCGTAAACCAACCCGCAAAATGACACATATCATCCATTAATTCTTACAACCTAGCTAACAAGTGATTTCTTGATACAATACAATACCATCTTTTTTTGTCTTGTAGTAAGCTCCCGATAATAATATTAATAATATAAAATAAAACCAAAATAACAACGAATCACTGCATCAACTCTATAAAATGAACTCCGTTGCATGCATTCGATGCGGCAAAACAACAATCAAAACCCACAAAAAAAAAAAAAAATGGCACCACCACCACCGCCATCAATTTTCTTCCTCGGGATAATGTTCCTCCTGATGATTCATTGCGCCCACGGTTTCGAGTTCAACTGCCTCTGCAACCCTGACTCGTTCGAGGCCAGCGACCTCCGAAACCTGTGCGTGTCTAACCTCTTAGACGCCTTGGCCGGGTCGATAGGCCACCCTCCGAGCTACGGCGACTTTTACCACCAAGTTGATTGCTCTGGCTGGCCGGTGTACGGTCACAGGTGGGTGGATAACCTAAAACCTTACGCCGACAACTGTCTTGTTCAGGCCAAAAATGTTATCAAGGATAGCTGCGCGCACAGACAAGGCGCTGACGTCTCTTCTGGTGATACTTGTCGCATGAGGTTCGAGCTTTATGATTTTCGTTATTAGGGTTTCTCCCTTTGGAAATTTCGATATATGATGAGCAAGCTTTCGCGATGGTGGGAAGTATCAATTAACCAAGCGACGACGAAAGATTATCCTGTCATTTTCTACTTCTCTAATCTCTATATATGTATGCATGTCTTACCTTATATAATTACGTACCAGTAAAGATTGACAAGAAGGTGGGTCTTTGTGTTGTCATCACTATTCACTTGCTCATCTTTGGATTTGGTCTTGGTCTCAATTAGGAGATTCGATTTGATCAAAATTCACATGCTTAATCATATTAATCACTTTCACTTAATCACATTAATGATATTGGCATACTAATCATAATTCTAAATTTGCCTACTTAATCATTCTAAGCTTGTGAATCACATTCGCATAATAATAATCATAATTACATCACGCACTAATAATTATAACTTAATTGAAAATTAACCCGATCGCCCAGGACAAGAATGGTCAAAGACCAGGCTGACCTAGGACCAGATCGGTCAAAGGTCCAAACAACCGAAGACAGTTGGACGATACAAGTTACCTTGGTCTTATACGGGTTGATTTCGCGCTAGGTCGGGAATAGGGATAGACAATAAAATTTACTGAAAATTATATGTACATTCTTATGTATGATAATGTTGAATGTACGGGACGTACATCTATTACTTTCATTTGATTGCCAAAAAAATAATTTATTACACTATAAATGGAATCCTCACTTGAAATAATTTATATTTAGAAAAAGGACACATCTAGTTTCAACTCATGGCTCAGCCGCTAATCTTTGGGTGTCCAACAATATAATTTGATAATCACGGTTCAAATGTATAGAAATTTTGCAAATCAAAATAAATCTCCAGTGCATTCATCTTTGTCAATTTAATGCTTTTTTTTTAAGATTCGCAAAATTAATGAGATCGAGGATTGGTTCATCTTATATTAGGTTCTGTTTTGACTACTTCAGTGATCATTTGGCTCTATTTGATCCAGTGTGAATCAAAGAGTTGCTACCCTATGTATATTTTATATTCATTTGTATAATCCTATTCAATCCCTTCTTGGTGAAATTTGTGTTTCATGAAATTAATTATGCATGAAACCTAGTTGAATATTTAAAAATTCTTTGACAGAGAGTGACAATAAAAATGGATGACAACTGATACTCTTGTGAATATTTTCTGGTTATAAGAAGTTTGTCTTCAATCTTAATCTTAACTTCTAGAAATAAAGTGAAGTTAAAGATAAAGTTTACTAATTATATGTTGCACCTTACATAAATTAATTAATGGAAGAGAGTAAGTGAAACATGTTTATAACCGCATGATATATGTGATCGCGGGAATTAGGAAGCACAAAACACCAAAAAAATCTTAAAATATTTGCGCACATGTTTGAATTGGAAAACTAACTTTTTTGGAAAAACTATATATCTAGAATTGAGCTAAACTATAGATTACATCACTGAGTGTATTTTCCTCCCCCGTTCCTCTTAATTTCCTTTCTCCCATATTGAAACGAACTCCCTTCCCCTTGTTTTCCTCCTGAGAATTTCTTCGTATGGAATGGCAATGACAGGCAATGAAGAAATCCAGCCCGCTCCCCTGATACTCAATTTCCACTTCTACGTACTCTTTCTTTCCCAAGACTGCGATTTCTGCATTTACTTCAAATCCTTCATATGCCATATCTGTGACAAACGATGGCATTCCGAGGCCAATCACACTTTTTATATTATATCTTATGATCACAGGTACGAAATGAACATTCAACTCATGGCTCAGTTTTCCCTCTCCCAAATCCTTGAAACATGTAGCTTTGGTATTTCCTTTTTTGTTCTTGTTTATGATTTCTGTGATTCTGAACAGTCGAAGAAACGTTTGTTGCCCCTCTCAGTATCCACATCAACTATACTTGGGTTCAAGAACTTATTTCACGACGGAGAGGGTCTGTTAGAGTCTGGGGGTATAGACAATAAAAATGAATGACAACTGATACTCTTGTGAATATTTTCTGGTTATAAATAGTTTGGTAATCTTAACTTCTAGAAATAAAGTGAAGTTAAGAATAAAGTTTACTAATTATATGTTGCAACTTAAATAAATTAATTAATAATAGCGAGTAAGTGAGACGTGCTTTGAACTGCAAAATATATATTATCGCGGAGAATAGGAACCACAAAACACCAAAAGATTCTTAAAATATCTCATATACATGTTAGAATTGGAAAACTAATATTTTTGGAGAAAATGTATATCTAGAACCGAACTAAACTATAGATTACATCACTTGTTAAGGGTCTTAAATGAGAATCTTTGGACTTTCAAGCATATCCTCGGGCGTATTTTCCTTTCCCTCTTCATTTTTCTTTCCTTTCTCCTCATTGAAACGATCATCATTCCCATAGTTTTCAGTTTTCAACCATGGTGGAACGAGAAGCGTTATGTAGGTCACGACATGGGGATTTACAATATGACCACTTGTACTGTTCAGCCGCTCTATTCCAGTGCTTCGATTTGTAGCAGTCTGCCGCCTGTATGGATCTCACCACCCAAGTAGTACTTGCTCGAACCCAGCCTGCAGCCATCGGCATGAGATGTCAATTACTCTGTTTTTTTTCTCTCTCTCTTAGTTATCAATTTATCGTTCTGCTCGGTTTTTTGCTTTTTACATTGTTGATCGGAACTTGTATGATGAACTTTATTATGTTTCCTTTTTGTTGGTGAAAGTCGTGAACTTCCTACGATTCCTTTTCCGTCGCAATGTTTTTGCTTCTTTCATTTTTGTTTACCGGCTATGATCTATGTATATGGATAGAACGATGATTAAGTACAGATACCATTGGTCCAGTACACAAGAACGAAAGTATCAGCCTTAATAGGAGTTAACCAGTTGAAATGGTACTAGACCGACATTGTATATGGTCCGTTTTGGTCCAGCTCAAATATATTTTCCTTTGGTATTTAAAAATTTCACCAAATTAACGATTACACCAAATTTAGTCTATAACTAAACCCAATTGTAAAGTGCAACTTTTACCTTTTATCTCATCCCTCATAGAGATGGCTAGGTCTCTGTTTGCCGGAGAGGATTGAGTGTCGCTTTAGATGAGGAGAGAAAAGGATGGAGTAAGTGTCGATTAAAATTCTATTGGAGAGGAGGGCTCTGCCTGATTTTTTTATTCTTGCTAATTTTCTATCAAAATGATGTCGTTTCGATGTTGGGGTATTTTGTTTTTAAACGGAATACTTAGTTGTTCGGTATGATTAAAACCGATTAGAATAATGTGGTTCATAGATTCAAACTCTGAATACAATCAACACGATTTCTTACAACTTTTCCTTGTACCATTCCGAATTTAGCTCCTCTACAGTATGTTGTTTTTATTTAACTAGGTTCTTATCCTCCAAACAATATATAGAGGTTCTCTTTGAGAACCCACCCAATTCAATTTTTCCTAGCTTCTGCGCATAGTAAGGAAGGATTGTTTAGTCATTTAGAGGCTAAAAACACTCCACTTATATTAATTAAAAAAATGGAACCCCAACTAAAAAGAAAGGCCACTTAGTAATTAAAAAATACGGAAGCCCGCTTATTAATTAAGAAAAAAGGTCTGCAACTAAAAAGAAGGACATCACTTTTTAACTAATCTCTTATGTTATATATGATCTCATTTATACCATAACGTTATATATTATCTCATTTATTATACTTTATAGTATTTGTACCATAATGTTAAAAGTATAAGCTTAGTTTTTATCGTAAAGTAATATGTACGAAATATATCAGTACAAACTATAACATAATGTTAAAGGTACACGTTCAGTTTGAATCTTAATTTAATTTGTATGAAAAAGATATAGATACAAACTAAATTTATACCATAACTTTAAAAGTACAACTTCAGTTTGTAATATAAAAAAATCTATACAAAAATGTATAGACACATACTAAATCTGATTATAATGTAAGGTACAAGTTATAATTGTACTATAAAGAAATTTTTTTGTAAGTGAAAGCACCAACAATATGAAGCATTTATCTATATATCTATTAAATTTAGGGTGTGCCTACGGTGACATGCATGTCACGGTGACTTGCACTTTCCGGTCGACCTCAGTTAGGATTAGGTAGACCTCATTTAGAATTCGGTCGACCTCATATAGGATATGGTCGAACTCATTTAGGATTCAGTCGACCTCATATAGGATCAGGCCGACCTAATCTGTTGTTTCAGTGTAAAGACAGTTCATGGTGCCTACTTTGGATATTCATATCATACAATTGGCTAGATAAAAATTGAAGACTAATGACTTGTTTTGAAGCTGGAGTGTCCCTTTACCTATTGAAGTGGAAGAGAGCTCGATATGAAGTCCAGAAGACCATTTTTGAACCTCATCAAAATGCTATGCCAAAACTGGGAAACTACTTGGAAATGGCTTAAGTCTGGAAACGTGTTTGTGAAGCCTATTTTGGAACTCAATTTGAGAAGAATGAATGCGAGTCGAGTCCAGGAGCCTCTACCACGTTAAATTAGGTATGTTTTTATACAAATTCAAGGCATTGGATGAAATATTGGATATCTGTAAGGCTTCAAACAAAAGGGTCGAAGTTGCTACGAAGGCTGTTTTTCTGGCGGACTTCGAGCACAAGCAAGTTGCCTGAAAAACAGCCTTCGTAGCAACTTCGAGCATTTTGTTTGAAGCTTTAAAGATATTCAATCTTTCATCCAATGTCTTGCCTTTGTATAATAAAATACGTAATTTAACGTGGTAGAGGCCCCTGGACTTGACTCGCATCCATGCTTCTCAAATTGAGCTCCAAAGTAGGCTTGACAAACACGTTGCCAGACTTAGCCATTTTCAGGCAGTTTCCCAGTTTTGGCATAGCCTTTTGGTCAGGTTCAAAAATGGTCTTCTGAGCTTTCTATTGAGCTCCCAAGTACTTTAATGTGTATAGGGACACTTCAGCTTCAAAACAAGCCTTTAATCTCCAATTTCCATCTAGCCAATTGTAAGATATGAATCTCCAAAGTAGGCACCATGAAACTGTTTTTACACTGAAACAACAGATTAGGTCGACCTAATCCTATATGAGGTCGACCGAAAAGTGCATGTCACCGAGCAAAGTCCTTAAAGTTATTATTAACAGTTGTATTTCGTTGTTTCCATTTATGCAATGTAAGATTATTGTTAGTTTATTAACATATTAGGTGTATAATTCAAGATGCATAACCACTTCTTTATAGTTTATAATTAATCATTTTTCATTTTTATAATTTAAATTACAAAATTTTAACTAAAATATTAAATTTATTATATTATATAAAATTATATCCAGTTTGACATATTTTGGAATAAAAAAATGTTTGTAGCATTCGATAGCATCATATATAATACCATTCATGACCTATCAATTCTTCTATAATGGTACCTGATATCTACGATAACTCCTAATCGTATTTCCACTATCATTTTTGTTAGATTGTTATGAAAGTGGGTCTCACCTTACTAATTGGACTTTGACTAATCTTCTTATAGTCAAATCAGAATGATCATGCTACTCCCCACTTAATTCATGATCTACAAATAAAAAATAAAACCACTATAGATAGAAGATGACATTCGTGGCAGGTTTAAGTATTCCCATTCTCGACAGCTAAACTTTCGTAAGCCATTTTTACAATTTGGACAACCAAATTGCATATATCTAAAAAAGAATTGGAGAATCGTCAACGCCTACTGGTTATTCATTAAGTTTTCAATCTATAAATTATCAAATTTTGTGTTGGTTGCAATGTTGTTTATCAACGTTAGTTTAAAAGAACAAATCTCATAAAGTAAGGGAGGAGGAGGTGCGATCACATGAAATCCAAAATGAAATTTGCAATCATTATTGACACCGAGGATCAAATAGTGTGGTCGCCTTATTAAATTTTTAGGAGTCGATTTCCTTGCATGATTTATGTTTTTTATTTTTATTTTGAGTAAGGACAGTCAATAAATCGGGTTAGCATGTTGAAAATTATACGAGTATGATTCCAGTAACTAAATCATTCAAAAACGTTTTATGGTATTAAATATAACATGTCTTGTTTTGTACAATTATTAATGAAATTCAACCGGCCAACGGGCAAGCCCTAATCTAGTAAATAAATATATATATCCATGTACTCAAATTCTGACATGACTTATTGAGTTATTGTCGAAAGGAACGCGACATAACATAAGAAGAATTTGGGCGGATATGGTTAATGTAATCGCATAATAAAAAGGTGGCGGTATGGGCATTGTTAGGTGCAATGGCGGCCTTCAAACAATAGCTAAAGCTAATCACCCACCATTTTGAGAAGACACTACCTTTTGCTCTGCTTCTTGTCCCCCCATCCCCACCGTTTTAGTGTCAACCACCTCAGTGATTGAATTAGGTCGGAATGTTAAAGAGGGATATAAGCATTGCAAAATATTGCTTCAACTTTAAGGACCAGAAGAAGATGATAATATGGACGTTTTTTGAAGCTATATGGGATGCATCCGAGGGCATGGGCTGCTAGTGCTCTTACAAACTGTAGCCTTTCTAAGATCAGAAAGTGTCCCTCGAATTTCTAAGATCTTAGAGTTTATAGATATACTTATGGTCTCAAACTTGATTATGATGTTATGGATTTCAAGATCAATGTTGTCCAAATGGATTATGTTTCGTTTTGGATCGCTTGATCTTGTCACAGTTAGAAGAATTTTTTGTCAACTTAAAAGGGTTCTTACTCCATCACTCATAATCAACAATATGTTAATCATATTAGAAGCGTTTGAAGCAAAATTAAATTGTATCGTAAACTAATTTTTAACTGTACGGAACGATTATCTAAAAACTTATTTCTTATTTTTTTATTGACTTACTGTACTACAAGTGTTGAAGCAAATCTAAATAGTATAAAAAATCAGCTCTAGAAAGCATGTAATTTTCCATTTTTTACTTGTTTATCATATAAAAAATGTTCAAGCAATCTAAACCATATTACACACTGTATAGATCGTTAGATTTGAAGTAATTTTTTTAAATTTTTAAAAATTACAGTAGACATTGTAGGACTAGATCAGACAAATTGATGACATTAAGTTCAACTTTAGTCTTAAAATCGGTTGAGATGTAGGCATCACGAATATTGTTTAGCAATTAGACTTATTTAGAAGGATCACTTGCAAGTTTCTCTACTTACAGTAATAATTTTGTGGCTGATTATTAGTTGGTTTATGTTGTGTAATATTTATGTAATTCGAATTTTCACCTCATTCACACTTACTCGACAATCTCCTTATCATCCTAAAACACGCCAATCAAAAACTAAATCGTGTTAGAAGCTAACTCTGCCTCTAAAAAGCTGCTAATCAGGAAAAAAGAAACAGTTCCCATTTTTCATTTAACTATTCATTTTTGTTTATATTAATCTTTTCCCCTTCCTATGACTAGCCGGTCGCAAATACTCTGCCTCTATTATACTCTTTCCCTTTTCCCCTTAAAAAAAAAACAGAGCAGGCGAATCTCAAACAGTAAATCACAACGGGGGAGAAAAAAACATGAAGAAGTGCGAGCTCTGCGATTCTCCGGCGAGAATGTACTGCGAATCCGATCAAGCGAGCCTCTGCTGGGACTGCGACGGCAAAGTCCACGGCGCCAATTTCCTCGTCGCGAAGCACACCCGAACCCTCCTCTGCCACGAGTGCCAGAGCCCGACTCCCTGGACCGGGTCCGGATCCCGGCTCGCTCCGACGATATCTCTCTGCGAAGGCTGCGCCGCCACTAATGATTCAACTTCCAGCAGAAACGGCGGCGAAGGCAGAGACCGAGACGGCGATTCAGACGACGGAGGTTCAGGGGATTCTGATGAAGACGAGAATGAAGATGGTGACGATGACGACGACGACGACGAGGATGATGGCGGCGGCGGGGATGGAGATGACGGAGAAAATCAAGTGGTTCCGTGGTCGTCGACGGCGCCGCCGGAGAACACGACGGCGTCGGGTTTGGTGGGCTGCTCGAAAGTCCGAAGCTTTTGGGGTTCTTAGGTGATTGGGAGGTGGGAACTAAGTTGTGAAATCTTTGAATGTCGATTAGGTGCTCAAAAATGTAGGATGAAAATGGTTGCAGGTAGGTATGAATAAAGATTATCAGTCGCCCTAATTTTGGGTTTCGATCATGCTTCCTTCTTGTGCTCGTGTATAAGGTTTTGGATGGTAAATTTAGATGTCTATGATCGCTAAGTATGTTGAGCTTATGAATTTTATGTGGGTAAATGCCACATTACTAAATTGTGTCATGTTTAGTTACTAGAAAAAATTAATATCAATTTTGATCACTCGAATTACTAAAACAGGTTACATTTAGTCATTCTCCCGTTAGTTTCCGTCCAACTTCATTAATGGAGTTGGACGGAAACTAACGGAAGAGTGACTAAATATGACCTGTTTTAGTAATTCGAGTGACTAAATGTGACATATTTCAGTAATTCAAGTGATCGGAGTTGGACGGAGGTTAACGGGAGAGTGACTAAAATGTCACGTGTTTTAGTAATTCGAGTGACCAAAATTGATATTAATTTTTTCTAGTGACTAAACATGACACGATTTAGTAATCTCGGTGACCAGATGTGACATTTACCCAATTTTATGTTGATACAAAGATGAAAGTGAGTTTCCTTTGACATCCTTTGGTTCCAAAACTTCCAATTAGTTAAAATTAAACGACGTATTAAAATTGGTCAGATACGTATCATTTCGGAATTTGCTCATATTATTAATTTGTATTAGTATGTTGTATAATATATTTATTATTTAACATCTCCCGACAACTCGAATTATTGGAACTGACCAGTTTGTTTTTATAGTCTCTATCCCTCTCATACTTTATCAGCTTTCTTAATAAATAAAAAAATATCGCAAAACACCATTGCCTTATTCCTAAAGGATCGACCTAACTGCAAAACGAAAATATTAATAATACTAATAAATTCACCACAAACTAATTTCAAACTTCTAACAATCGACGCATATACATTATTCGATATTGAATGTCTGAATCCAATTATGATCAATTCGGAACTAAAAATCTATAGTCTATAGAGACTGAAACATATGAGCCGGATCATCGACTCACATCACACTATTGTAGAGATGTTACGTTCAATCAATCAAATCTCATTTGATTTTGATATTGATTGATTCAGGTTGTCCAAGTGGCACGCGCAGATAACCCCACGCATCACGTTCGCAAGAGTGTGCTGCCCATCACCTCTCCTCGTGGCCGTGGCTCTCTTTGATTTTTTTTTTTTTTTTTTTTTTTTTTTCCTTCTCCCCCCATTGTTTTGTCTCTAGGGAATCGGAATTCCATCTCTGATGTGAAGAAGATAATATAAGATGAAGGAGTTAAGAATAGCCAACCTTTGGTTTAATCGGAACCTCATTTCTGATCAGATTCACGATGATGCTCATCAGGTGGAAATTTTTCCGGCTGTCCCCCGACACCGCCCACGTGAACTTCACGAGTTAGATCGCTTGGCCCGGTTACAGCTCGAGAAGGTAACAATCGTTTCAATATATTATAGCAAACCATATAGAAAGCATATAGAAAGCATTATTATAGCAATCCGTACTTGGAATGATGCTCTGCTTCTACAGTTTCGACGGCTGAGATGATGTTGTTTATGTGCCGAATATCAGGGGGTTGTGATTTCGATCATGTTATCAGCCGGCTTGCTCATTCTTTCCCTGTAAAACAAACGAGTCTTTAAATTTTTTTCCTCAGGATAGAACGAGAGAGAAAAGGAAACCAGCTGACTCTAAATGAGATAGTAACGAGTTTTATATAAGGGTGATAGAAGTTTTTTTTTTTTTTATTAGGGTATCACTATAGAGGTTCGAATCTGTTACCTTCAATTTCTATCTTTCTGAGTTACAGAATTATAACTATGGAGGAGAGGAGGGAAGAACGTCGAAGTCGTTTCACGAAAAAAGTGAGTCGGTCTTAATGTGCTTGGTGCATTTACGGAAGACATGATTAGCATCAATATGTAGTGCGGATATGCGGTGAATTCCTTCCCGTCTAGTGTGAATTGTAATTTTTTACTCTTTTTTTTTGTCAAGAATCAATTGATTCTAACTAATAACTTAATTACGATTTCATCTCTAATGGTACAAATTTATAAAAAAACATCGCAATTAAAAAGTCCTTCCCAACTCTGCATAGTGATAAAAATGCGAATAAGATGTTGGTCTAGTGATAATAACACTAGTCTTGAACCAAAAGGAGTTAGATTCGAAATTCTTAAGTAGCACCTACTCACTAATAATAAATATATATTACTCTTGTAAAAGTATTTGGTGATAAAGTACTTTACTATTTGTTATTAGATGGAACTAGTCTAGTTTAGACGAATTAAGACATTAATAACGACATTTTTTATTTTATTAGATGGATCTAGTCTAGCGTGAACGAATCAAGACATTAACAATGATAAACTCTACCTATTGTTGGAGTGTGACCAATATTTTAATGTATTGGTACTTGGTGGTAGTGCCATTTTTTAGGTTCCATGGAATCTAATTAACGGGCCTAGAATATTGATCTCATCTGCGGGCGACTAGGCCCAAATGGATGGGCCCGTGGTACCAAATCGAACACGAAAACTGGCCCAAACAGAATATGATAGGACACCGTATTAGAGAAGTCACAGTCGAATCCGATCTCGGAACTTCTCTAATCCAAATCAGTATCGGCAAATTTCTAGGGTTCTTCTTGAGAGTTAAAGACACTCCGATTCCATCACCTAATCTAAATCGCCGGCGTCTGATACTCCTGAAAGTCGATTAACCATGCCGCAGAGACACTCGAAGAACAACAACGATCTAGCGTTCTTCACTTACGATGAGAAGAGGAAGCTCGGCTACGGGACGCAGAGGGAGCGGCTGGGCAAGGACTCGATCAAGCCCTTCGACGCCTGCAGCCTCTGCTTGAAGCCCTTCATCAGTCCCATGTCTTGTCCCAAAGGTCACGTCTTTTGTAAAGAATGCATCCTCGAGTGCCTCCTCGCCCAGAAGAAAGACATCATTCGGTACCCAAAAAAAAATTCCCTCCATTTCCCCCCCTTTTATCTCTTTCCGTATGAGCTGATTCACTCGAGCTTGAGAAATTGTGGGCTGGCTACGAATGTTTGGTTGAAGTTGAATTAGTCGGATTTTAGTCAAGCTAGTGGCTTTGTTGTATGAAGAATAAAGATGCTTCTTTGGTGTCTGAAATTGACGAATAATTGGGTGTTTTGATCTAGGTATGGATTTCCCTCAATTGAAAACTAGGGAATTGTCTTGTGTTCGTCTGTGAATCTACCTAGTGGAGTTGAATTGCATAGCTATAGGAAGTGGATCTCATACATGTGTTCCTGTGTCGTGGGGAACATTTTTGTGGTTGCCGGGTGTCTTTCGACAGTTTTGGTTGCGAGGTGATCTTCAATGTGATTAGAGTGTCTTGATGATGTGTGAATTCTGTTATAATCATAGTTGCTCGTATCTCTTAGTTTTGGCTATCCCATTTGCTGACCTGTGCCTAGCAGGATAATCTAGCTAATGGCTGTGTTCTGAGCTTTGGGGATATTTTTTTCTTTTGTTTTGTCTCTGAAATTGAAGGATTTTAGAATTTTAAGCTAGTTTTTGGATTGTTCTCGAAGATTTAGGATTGAGATAGGTTCGTATCAGGCCTGCGGTTCTTGCTTGCTTGCTTTACTGGCTGTGCTAGTAGGGTTGAACTGTTAGCATTTTGGACGAATTCTGACTGTTTGTCTTGCAAAGTGATCTTCAATGTACGTGCATTAACAATTAGCGAATTCTATGAGGAGCTTCATGATTGTATTATTGATCATGCATATGGTTTGTTCACTTATGACATGTGTTTATGTTGTCTTAAAACGGGCTACATGATCTTCAATGTGCATGCAATTTGAGCATCATGTAACTATTCATATATTTGGTGCTCCCCTATACTGTGCCTAGTTAGATGATGTATGCTTACCTCGCAGGAAACAAGCCGCCCATGAGTTACAGAAAAAGCAGGACAAGGAAGAGGAACAAGATAAGTTAGCGGCTCAGAGAGCTCGAGAACTTGACGCGTTCGACCAGCAGAACCACGGTGCAGTTCCACAGTACAGCAACGACAGCCGAAACCGTAACCAAGACAAGAACGGTTTCCACGGTGCTAACAGCGTGAAGACAACCTCCTTCGAAGAGGAAGCCCTTCGTACGATGAAAGCCTTCTGGCTTCCCTCAGCAACACCAGAAGCCACCGTTAAAGTGGATGCTCCGTCCTCCCACACAACATGCCCCGAGGGGAACGAGAAGCTTAAAATGAAGAGCCTCTTCCCCATCTATCTAACTGAAGACACGAGTGAGGGTGACAGGGGCTCTCTCGATAAGAGCTATCTCTGTCCGAGTTGTAAGGTCACCCTGACCAACACGCTAACGCTTGTTGCTGTGAGCTCATGCGGCCATGTGTTCTGCAAGAAGTGTGCCGATAAGTTCTTGGCGGTGGACAAGGTTTGCTTGGAGTGCAGCAAGGGGTGCAAAGGGAGGGATTTGGTGCAGTTGGAGAAGGGCGGGACTGGGTTTGCAGGTCACGACGAGGGTCTTGTGGCTACGGATTTCAAGCATTTGGGTAGTGGTTCGGGTTTGGGACTTGTGAGGCCTTCTTCGAAAGTTTGATCTTATGTTGAACTACTCTTGGCTTGTATTTTTTTCCATTCGACAATGTAATCTATTTCGTTAGATCGAATCCAAGAATATCCACCTGAGTTCTTCTTTGTTCTGTGTGTTGAATTCGTTACATGGTGATGGTTATGTTACAGGAAACTTGAGGGGCCCTGTCTGAATGGGCACTCTGCCTAATCTGTTTAGACAGCTGCCGTGTTTACAAAGAAACTCATCCTTCCTGGGATTTGGAGATTGATGTTTTGGGAAACCAGCTATGGTCAATTTACTCGAAGTTTTCGATTTCATTTCCTTTTTCTCTGGATTTTGATTCATGTACAGGCTACAGCTGCTCATTTTTCTGTCCCTATCAAACCCTAAATCGCCTTGTTTCTTTTTTGTGTAGGAAGTAAAGAGTGTAAGACTCCATGAAGGTTCATCTATCTCAGAACCGAGTCATTCATCAGGTTGAGCTACCGAAGAAAGATGGACGACCCTTTCGGCTAGCTGGTAAGACAACCAAACTGGAATTCATTCATCCCCTATTGGTCAAAATGTTGGATTTGTGGTCGAACCTGAATCCACCATTTACTACATCAGCAACAAGCCTTTCATTCCTAGCTTGAATGGCATCAGAACCTAACAGTCTGATTACAGTAATAGATTGGCCTTTCTGGGTTGGCATTGACTGTACATGTGATGTAGTGGGTTGGGAATTTCGGATAAGGAGAGGGAAAGTGGACCTTTTTTTCCCTGTTGAGACTCTTTCTTATCCCCAAACCATTTTTGTTATTATATCCAGAAATCAGGATGCCATTAATAATAGGGGCCATCTACCCACCACTGATAATTTGCACCACCAGTTCATCATCTGAGCATGTGCTCCATTGACAACTATGCTGTATTTTTTCCAGTTTGTAGTTCAACTATTCCTCTCTCGTTGGTCATTTCCAGCTAAACATTTTCTGTCTTCTTATACCGTTAAACACCGCCCTTTCCTAGGCTAATTCACCCCCCAATTCTAACGAGTCAGCAGACCACTAATCTGGATTAATTAAACAATTAACTCCCAAACAAAAAAGCTTTATTGATCTAATAATCTGGGATTAGTTAAAAACAAATCCATGGAAATCCAGGAAAATCAGAGAGGAAGTTGAGGGTGACGTGTCACAATTCAAGCCGTCGATTACGAGCCGTTTCCGAGTGGGTCCCACAACATCTCCATTTGCTCTGCCCGCCAACGCCTTCCCACCAAATTCCCACCCAAAAGAAAAACAAAAAAGGAGAAAGAAATGAATTGGAGAGAGAAACAGAGGGAGATGAATCATCATCGTCGTCATCTCTCCGCCTCGCTCCCCGTTAAAAAAGCGGCCTCCGCCGCCGCCCTCCTCCTACCCACCATCATTCTCATTATTAAAATCGGTCCCTTTTAAAAAGAGAGAAAAACCTCAGCTCGTTCTATCTTCTTTCCCCATTCCCCATTTCTCTCCCCCGCCACTCAACTGTTTCGCCAAGGAAGAAGAAAGGGGGAAAGAAGGGATTTTTTCCGTATCGGGAAGTGTTTTCTTACGATTTCCCCCAAAACCCCTAGGTTTAGCTTCTGGGTTTGAGTTTTTTTCTTTGTGGGTCTAGAATGGGGGAATTCGAGAACCGGGTAGCTTGCGACGATGGTGCGGCGGAGGGGCGGAATGAGGAGGAGCAGAAGCTGATCGAGGACGTCGCCGTGGTGGATTTTGACCTGCTCTGCTCCACCGTCGCGCTGCAGACGCAGGGGAAATGGACGACCAAGGTCCAAGCCGCCGACGAGGAATTCCACGACGGCGGCGCCTCCGTGTTCCGGATGTGGGAAGGTGGGGTGCTCGATTTCTGCGATGACCGCCGCCTTGCCGTTGAATCGTTCTGGTAAATCTTTTTCCCCCCTTTTTTGCTTATTTTCTTTCATTTTGATTCCTTGTTTCCTGCCGGGAGAAACCGGGGTTTCTCTCTTTCCTTCCTATTCACACGCAGTGAGATTCTCCCGGAAAAATTCCCGGCGGCGAATATATTTCCTCAACTTCTGATAAATTTTAAGCCAAACTGATCCAAAGATTGAAGTGAAATTAGGTTTTACTTTGCAGTTAATACGATGTATGTATTTCGTAAGAATCATCGGCTGACGAATGTGTTCTTCTGGCGTTGAATTTTTCCAAATGAGTTCAGCAGTCAAACGGCCTTGATTAGCCCTTTCTTCGATAATCATTCAAATTCAACACCGTTTGACTGCTTCCTGCACTCAAACTATGCTAGGTTTTGTTGGTTACTGTTTGGTTGATACGTGATGGAATGTTCGATGATTTTGCAGTTGTCCTTGCTATAGATTTGGGAAGAACATGAGGCGAGCTGGTTTTGGTTCTTGTTTCCTTCAGGTACAACCATCATTCCCTTTCAAGTGTTAAAATCACCAATTTGATCACGAAACTCCACTACATTTATCACAATGGCGTACTCAAACTCGGTGTAATAAACGTGCATATTAGCATTCTCGTTTCATCGATCAACTTTCGTGGGTTATGTTACTGATGTGGTAGACTGGAGAAATTGGGAAATGCTAATAGTGACTTATCACGCCGAGTTTGGTGCTTTAGCTATGTTAATGCTAATAGGCGAGTTCAATTGCGGAATCAGTAAGTTTTAGTTCTGAGATGAAGGTGTTGATCTCTTTTGTTTGCAGGCAACTGCGTATTACATTCTAGCTCTATTTGCGCTTCTCAATCTCGTTGCATTCTTCGTCACAAAGAGGCATGCTTTCCTCTATCTAGCAATCGGGTTCACAGTTCTAGTGGGAATATATCTGGGTTTCTTCCGGTCTCAGATCAAAGACAAGTTTAACATCAGGGTGAGCTAGCTGCTTTGAATTTGTACCTGACTTGACTCGGCTTTATCATATGATTCGAAAGATGGAAAGTAACTGATTGAGTTTCTTTGTGTTGTTATTTCAGGGTAGTGATAGTTCATTGGACGATTGCTTCTACCATATCTTCTGCCCTTGCTGCGCTTTGAGCCAGGTAGCTAGAGAAGGGTTTGTCCTTTCTCATTTTGTGTGATATGATTTCTCTGTGATTCGATTGGATTTCCAAATTCTAATTCGATTGTTTCCGTAGGAGGCGAGAACGCTAGAGATGAACAATGTACAAGATGGGACGTGGCATGGGCGGGGTGATACGATCTGCGTAGGCGGGTATAGCGAAGGGAGCCATGCTTACTTGCAGCTTCACCCTCCTGCCATTTTTACAACCAAATCCCCAGACAACAGCAGCAGCCCACAGAAGGTTAGTGACGATGAATGCTGATGACTGGTGTCTCCAAGTTCGTCTTCTCCTTTCAATTCCCGCTCTGCAATTTCGCTCAACATTTGAGGAACGAGAATGACGCGGGATGAGAGAGCTAATTGCGTTGTTTGTAGTTTGTATATACTCGATCGCAAGGAAGTATTAGTCCAAGTGTATGATATTCGTTTCTTTAGTCTTCGTAATTTATATGAAAGGAATAAAATTGGATCAGATAAATCAGCATCATTTGACACCACATTGTCATCTACTTCCCACCAACAGTGGCTTACATGAAGAGCTGCATTCCTATGAGACTACTGTTACTGATAAAGCTCTTGTCGAGACGAGCTCGAGCTACATTCTCTTAACTGACTTCACGTCACGCTGAGCTCGAACCGAGTCTACACCCTACCGAGAACGTGCTCGGCTCGACATCAGCTCTATCGGGTTACTTACTACTGTGGAACACATGATCTAGCCCTAGACTTCCATTTGACTAGAAGCTAGTGTTAGGACTTTTAGCTAAAACCAGCGTGGAATCTATTCGAACCCGTTCTCCACCATACCCTGTTTTCTTGAATAGACGAAACAGAGGCACGCACCAACTACGGTGGCAGGGAGACGGGGACTAGGAAGGAACCATAAATATGTTCTTCAGCTTTCATCATGTTCTCTCAATTATTTCGTACTTTATGGCCGTTGTGTTTGGGGTTTCCATTCTAAGGAAAACTCAACTATCGCGAAAGTGAAATGTATAAGAGAGGCATACATGACAATACATCAAGCACAAAGAAAAGAACGATCCACTAGTAAAACAGAGCATAAATAGTACGTCGTTACGTCATCTGCAACTCCGATGGTTCCCAATCTCTCCTCTCCCTTCCCGCTTAATCCTCTGTCTCGATCGTACGGAACTTAAAAGGCGATCTCTATGTATAAATATCCCTGTAATCCCCAAACTCTAAAAGCGGAGCTACTAATATGTTAGCAAGTTTTAGAAGAAAGGAAACGTTTTTCAGAGTTGGGTCTTGTAGACAATGGCGGCGCCAAACGGGGTCGGGACCGTGGAGCTGCCGGCGCCGGGAAAAGATGGAGTGGTGGTAGTAGTCCCTCCCCGGGGGAAGAGGAAGGCGGAGGCGGTCGACGTTCGGAGACTGGATCGCGGCGGGCGGGAGCGCGTTTTGAAAGAAGCGCTGGCCGCCGGCGGCACGACCCCGACAAAATCGGAAGACAATTACAATCTTCTCGCCGCCGTCAAACAACGGCTCGATAGGTTAGTGTACGAACATGGTTGTTACTTGTTAGGTAATTAATTTGATTACGCTAATTGTTCGTGCAAATTAAGAAACACATAGTAACGCTAATTGAAACATGGACTCGGTTCTGATCGTTTTTAACCAAAACCTAATCAGTAAAAACCGATAAGTGCTTAATGGTTTCGGTTAAAATTGAAAATTGTTAATGAACCGATGGGCATTTGTGCAATCAAATGTTTTTATTTTGTCGGTTTATTCTGGTCAAAACCGAATTTGTTAAGATAAATCGAAAATCCTAATTGAAAAGTTGTCATTCCAAGTCAATTCCCTTTCTTGATTATGTAAATACGTGTTTATTCATACTCAACTTTTATGATACTATTTTATTTTCGTATTCGAAGTATCACATAATCCGACAATCAATCAAACAACTAAAAATTGCATAGTTGTTTTTACCTGCCGCTGTGGATTTTCTTACATGGTAAGAGTGGGAATTGAGGAGCCAAGTGTGGAAGTAAGATTTGAGAACTTGAAGGTAGTGGCTGCTGATGTTCAAGTGGGCTCAAGAGCTTTACCAACCCTCGTCAATGCCGCCCTTGACGCCATAGAGGTAACAATTTTTTTTTTTTACCTTTTGTGCACGAATTACCACAGTAATTTCATCCACCCTACAAAAGTAGAAACAATCCAGCTGTAAATTTTTCTATCCCCTAACTAAACCAATCTTTTTGCAGGATTTGTTGACCAAATTACGGATATACCGGCCTAAGAGACGTAGTTTGACGATCTTGAACAACGTCAGTGGCATTTTGAAACCGGGAAGGTAACAAACTTACACAAGTTGATTAGCATATTGGGCCAAGGAAATGGGCCAATTCTAGTCGTGGATAGAAGCCCAGTCCAAGGCCCATTGGGTTTTACTTTTACCAGAAAACATGATCAAATCTTGCAAATTCATTTCCTCTCCTATGATTTGTCATTTGTGGTTTGACGTAGGATGGCATTGCTACTCGGACCGCCCGGTTCGGGAAAATCGATTTTGTTGAAAGCTCTGGCAGGAAACCTTGACAATAACTTGAAGGTTGGTAATACTAACTAAACACGATTTGCTTTCTAATTAGTAATTTCGAGCTTCTAGTTTGTCATAAGGATATCTAAAATTTCGATCAAGGTACGTTTAACCTATTATATTCCATCTTTTTTATTATATTAAGACAAAGCACAAACAATTGACCTTACAATAATGTGTGTGCAATCACTAGTACCACATTTTAAACGATTTGAGAGCCGTTCGCAATTGTAAATAAATTCGGTAAGTTTTAAAAAAGAAATGAACTAAAGACACAAAAACTACTTTTAGTACATGAATGTATCTGTTAAAACAAAAGATATAGTAACTATAAAGAACATTTATCTTCCCCTGCCCCCTTCCGCCGCCTGATAACTGATTCCTGAACAATGGACGACGACGACGAAAATGGCGCCAAAATTCCGGCGTCAATCCTTCGACAACAACCGCTCCTGCTGCGAACGGGCGGCTGGTTTGCGTTCCTCGTTCCAAGTAGGAGTTCAAAATCTACTGAAATTGAGTAATCGACTCTTCGTTCTCTTGCCCTTTTTTCCCCGTTTGAATTAGCTTCGAACTCCGCCTACTCGCACGATCGTACCCAGCGGCCTTTCTTATACTCAAAACAGTGGGCAATGCGTCTATGTTTCACGAAACTCGTTAAATTTCATCTGAATTGCGGTTGTTTCCCCCTTCCAGGTAACTGGTAGAGTCGCTTACAATGGAGAGAGCGTCGACGAATTCTATGTACAGAGAACCGCGGCTTACGTCAGCCAAACGGACGATCATATCGCCGAGCTCACCGTGCGAGAAACCCTCGATTTGGCTGCCCGCTGGCAAGGGGCTGGCCAAGATTTTGCGGGTCAGGTTTCTTTCTTAATGTAAATGCAGCATTCAGTCTTATCAGTTATCACAGTATGTCTTACTTTGTAAGAGACGAGTTGCTTATTGGCACGAATATAGATCAGTGTCATTACTGATTGATTCGAAACTCAAATTATGCTTCTTGGTTTAAGGTTGCATGAAAGATGTGATGGAACGGGAAAAGGAGAAGAACCTAGATACGAGTCCTGAGATTGATGCCTTCATGAAGGTCAGTCCTTATACAGATTTTTTGAGTGTGAAATGTACTCCTGATTTGCGTGAGAGGTTTAGCGGATAATCTGTGACCATAATTGCATTTTTTAACTGGAGCAGGCAGCATCGATTCGGGGTCAAAAGCACAGCATATCAACTGATTATGTCCTGAAAATTCTTGGGCTAGATACATGTGCAGATGCTTTGGTCGGCGATTATATGGTCAGGGGCATCTCAGGCGGCCAAAAGAAAAGGGTTACAACCGGTACCTTCTCTTACATTGCACAAATGTTGTTAATGTGGGCTAAGATATTTAGAGTTCACATTTGTTTGTTAACATGTTTGTGCCACAGGAGAAATGATTGTAGGACCAAGGAAAACGTTTTTCATGGACGAGATTTCAACCGGACTAGATAGCTCCACAACTTACCAAACTGTTAATTGCTTAGGCAATTTCGTTCACATGAGGCAAGGAACTGTGTTGATGGCTCTTCTTCAGCCTCCTCCCGAGACTTTCGAGCTGTTCGATGACCTCATGCTGCTGTCCGAGGGATACGTGGTGTATGAGGGACCAAGAACCGAAGTTTTACCATTCTTTGAGTCTCTCGGGTTCCAGCTGCCCCCCAGAAAGGGTGTTGCAGATTTCCTCCAAGAGGTACTCACTGTTATTGGAAAATTTGGCTATTATGTTGAGCTGGGGAGCAATCTGTACGTGTTGATGCTGTTGGGATTGCCCCTGCGTCAGCCTAATAATGTTATTGCTTTGATCAGTTCTCTTCTTTCTTTTTTTGTTGGACCAGGTGACATCGAGGAAGGATCAAGCTCAATATTGGGCTGATAATTCAAAACCATATGTGTTTATTTCTGTCCCGGAGATTGCCCAAGCATTTAAAGATTCTGTGATTGGGAGGTTTGTCAGCTCAGCGACTTCTGTTCAGTTTGACAAAGCCAAGGGTCATCCTGAAGCTTTGTCGAGGACGAAATATGCTGCACCGAAGTGGGAATTGCTTAAAACATGCTTTCAACGGGAAATCTTGCTTATGAAACGACATCAGTTCTTATATGTGTTCAGAACTTGCCAGGTATTCTTGTTTTTTTCTTCTTCCTGAACATATGGAGCTTTGTCTTAGTTTGATATGAAATTCTGGTTCCAGGAAGTGAATGATGTATAAGTTAACGCAGCCCAACTAAGCTCGCTTCCAATTTTCTGTCATTCGAAGGTTGCAGTCGTTGGATTCGTCACTTGCACCATATTCACCAGGTTAAGATTGCATCCTGAGAGCGAGATAGAAGGGAACCTCTACCTGTCATGCCTGTTCTTTGGCCTGGTTCATATGATATTCAATGGCTACTCTGAGTTGCCCCTGTTAATGTTCCGGCTCCCCGTCTTTTACAAGCAGCGGGATAATATGTTCCATCCTGCTTGGGCATGGTCGCTGGCTAGCTTCTTGCTGCGTGTTCCGTACTCCATCATTGAATCCGTTATATGGTCTGCTGTTGTTTACTACTCCGTTGGTTTTGCTCCTGAGATATGGAGGTTCTTTAGGTATGTGCTGCTACTATTTTCGGTTCACCAAATGGCTCTTGGCATCTTTCGTACGTTAGCGTCAGTTGCTCGGGACATGGTTATCGCCACCACTTTCGCGTCGGTCTGTCTGTTGATCATCGTCTCGTCGGGTGGTTTTATTATCCCAAAAGGTAATTGATCATCTAATAGAAGAGACGAGTTGCTGAAAACAATTTTGAGGTTTCGCTTTTGTTACTCACTCAAGTTCTTGTTTTTCTTTCCAGCTATGGTAAAGCCATGGTGGGCTTGGGCGTTTTGGGTTTCGCCGTTGACATATGCTCAACGTGCAATAACTGTGAATGAGTTTGGTGCTGACAGATGGATGAAGGTGAACAAACAATTACTTCTTGTTGATGCTACTTTATTTTATGGATATATATGCATGGCAATTAAACATTTTTTCAATGTGCCCCAGAGCTCAACAACTGGAAATGGTACAGTTGGTGACAATGTTCTCAAGAACCATAGCTTACCCTCAGATGATCGTTGGTACTGGCTTGGAGTTGCTGTTTTGTTGACTTATGCATTGTTTCTCAATGTCGTCGTGACACTTGCCCTGGCGTTTCTTCATCGTAAGTTCTAGTCATGGTTGATCAACCTATACAGTTGTTCGTTCTTTAAGCTAACCTCTCATTCTCGATTTGGCTCAATTGCAGCACTCAAAAAGCATCAAGCTATTCCTATTGGTGATGATGCTTCAGACGAAGTTGACAACAGTGGTTAGTGTGAAGTGGTTTGATTATGGTTTTGAACTAGCAACTCCTTAATGGCTTTCAGTTTCTCTGTCCAGCTAACAGGACAGCGATCCTTACCTTTTCGTTCCTTTGTTCTTTAGGGGGCAGGAAGAAGAAAGCAAGTGAAAAGTCCATGGAAAAGGTCGGAAGGAGAGGGATGATCCTTCCTTTCCAACCCCTAGTGATGACTTTTCGCAATGTGAACTACTTTGTCGACATGCCGAAGGAATTGCGTCGTGGAAAGTCGGGGACACGGCTGCAGCTACTTGCAGAAGTGAGCGGAGTTTTCTCACCTGGTGTTCTTACTGCCATTGTTGGTCCGAGCGGGGCGGGAAAAACTACTCTACTGGATGTGCTTGCTGGAAGGAAAACCGGTGGATATATTACCGGAGATGTAAAGATATCAGGACATCCTAAAGTGCAGAGCACATTTGCTAGGATTTCGGGGTATGTTGAGCAAAACGACATCCATTCTCCTCAGGTCACGGTTGAGGAATCTCTCTGGTTCTCTTCTGCTCTCCGACTCCCCAAAGAAGTCACCAAAGGACAAAGACGAGTGAGTTTCTTGTGACTTTTTTGTTTACTAAATATTGGTCCCTCCTACTTTTAAAACATAGGTTTACTCTACTACAGGAATTTGTTGAACAAGTAATGGGGCTAGTAGAGCTTGATACGTTAAGACTAGCTCTGGTTGGGTTGCCTGGTAGTTCTGGTTTGTCGAGAGAGCAAAGGAAACGCTTGACAATCGCTGTGGAGCTAGTTGCCAACCCCTCCATCATTTTCATGGACGAACCAACATCTGGGCTTGATGCAAGAGCTGCAGCTGTTGTCATGCGAACTGTGCGCAATACTGTAGACACAGGACGGACTGTGGTTTGCACCATTCATCAGCCGAGTATCGACATCTTCGAATCATTCGATGAGGTCGTTCCTACAACTGGCTCTGGAACAAAGACTTGTTATGGAAGCTTTGGTTGCTTTTGTTTTGAAGTATCTAATATCATGTTGGTTTTAATGGCAGCTGCTTCTCATGAAACAAGGAGGAAAGATCATTTACGGTGGGCAGCTTGGCCTCCACTCGCGAACTCTAATTGACTATTTCCAGGTAATGTCGCTAAATGCCTGAGTTGTTTTTTGCCTGAGGTCAGAGAATTGAAGTTTAAAATAATAAAACTCCTTTGCTTGGTTAGGGAATTGTGGGGATCCCTTCTATTCCAAATGGCTGCAACCCTGCAACCTGGATGCTAGAGGTTACTGCTTCTGATGTTGAGCAGAAGCTGCGTGCAGACTTTGCGGAGCTATACAGAACCTCTCAGCAGTTTAGGTAACCCCGAAATGTTTTGTGTCAGGTCTGATCTTACCTCCTTCAAATGATATGCAGAATTGCAGTTAAAATTCTTCTTTCTGGGTTCTTTCTTATATCTCTTTAGGGACGTAGAAGCTTCAATTATGAGTTTGAGTGCCCCTCCTCCAAGCTCATTACCTTTAAACTTTGCCTCCACATACACGACTGATCCGTTGTCCCAGTTCCGGATTTGCCTAAGAAAGCAAATGCTTATCTACTGGAGAAGCCCACAGTACAATGCAGTAAGGGTGCTGCTAACTGTGATTGTTGCTTTGATATTAGGCACTCAGTTTTGGGACATTGGTTCACAAAGGTAAATGTCGCAATCCCTTTCTCCCCTCCTGAAGAACCGCCATCAGCATCATCCCTCATATTTCCCTTAACAAAATGTTAGGGACACAACACGTGCTTTGTTCACTGTTATGGGAGCTCTGTACTCCTCTTGCGTAGTCCTCGGGGTTAGCAACGCGTCCACGGTGCAGTCAGGAGTATCAATTGAGAGAACAGTGTTCTACCGCGAGAAGGCTGCAGGGATGTACTCTCCCCTGGCTTATGCTGCAGCACAGGTTGGTTCCGGTTTCTGTAATCCTCTTTTCACGTGAACGGAAGCCTTTGACCAATCTTTCTTTCGGGGCACAGGGCATTGTAGAGGTCCCATACATTGTTGTACAGACAATTCTGTACAGCATCATTACGTACTTCATGATTAATTTCGAGCGAGATGCAGGTACAACCTCTGATCTTGTTACACTTCAATTTAAACATTGCTGTTAGTTCCCGCCTTGAGAAGCAAGTAATCGTTGCCCTCTCCTTTTTTGCGCAGGGAAGTTCTTCATGTACGTGGTGTTCATGTTCCTCACATTCTCCTACTTCACATTCTTCGGGATGATGGCTGTCGGGCTCACCGCTACCCAGAGCCTCTCCGCGGTGGTCTCCTCTGCATTCTACTCACTGTGCGACCTTCTCTCCGGTTTCCTCATCTCCAGACAGGTAACAGAACAGTGAGATTTCATAATGGTTTTTTATCTTACAATCATGTTACATTCTCCTTTGTGTCTTCAGTTCATTCCAGTTTGGTGGATCTGGTTCTACTATATCTGCCCTGTGGCGTGGACCCTGCAAGGAATCATCTCGTCGCAGCTTGGTGATGTGGAGACCGTGATCGAAGGGCCAGGGTTCCGCGGCTCGGTGAAAGATTATCTGAAGGAGAACTATGGGTACGGGACGGAGATGGTTGGACCTTCGATCGCGGTGCTCATCGGCTTCAACGTCCTCTTCTTCTCTGCCTTTGTCGCGTCTGTGAAATTCATCAACTTCCAGAGAAGATGAGAAGGATGGTGAGTAAGGTTTGTGTTTGTATGTATGTATTTAAACAGAAAGAACTATCAGTCTAGTGTATGATATTTATCTCAGTCGTATTTAAATGTCTGCAATGTAACCATTAAGGAGTGTAATCATTAAGGCCTACGGAGATTTGTGACCAATGTCATGTTTGAAACTAGAAATGAGATCTATAGTGTATAATTGTGGTTATTAGAAATGATTGAACTAGTTGTATGGGGATCTTCCTGTAACAAATTTATTGGTCATAAACTCGTAATTGATTGATTTCGTCACATAATCATTTTAGGCTAATGGAAATGAGTTGGTATGCTTTCATATTATTTGTGACCACTACATATTTTTGGTGACGTTTGACCGGAGTTTAAATGATCAATAATTTTAGTCACAGCGCGGCTGTTTGCTTACCATCCTCTAACTTGGTCGCAAATCATCATGTATGATGACTAAACTTTAACTTCTTCTTAACGCAGCTGGTAAAATCAAAGTTGCAACCCAACACTACATCTACACGTCACTATTGCTGCAACAAAAATATGATACTTAGCGACTATTTTCCCGTGACTAATGACTGACTCTAACTGTAGCATTAGTCACGGTAATATGCAATTTTAAGCATATCACCATAATTTCCTGCTCGTATTTGGGTATGAAAATGAAGAGTGTGGCTTATACGCACCAATCAACATGAGATACTATTCCAAGTTTGACTAGAAATAGTCACAGTACATACAGTGGAGCTAGGGGGCATTCGGTCGGTTCGGTTTCGACCGAACCGAAATTATGAATACCGGGTCCCCGAATTCTCCCAAACCTCAAACCGAATTCGAACCGAATTATAATTCGGTTCGGTCGGTTTAAACCGAATTATAGTTCGGTTCGGTTTTTCACACAAAACCGAATTTGTGAAGGTACTTGTATTTTCTCACTTTTAAATTATTTTTCACCCCTAATATAAACAATAAATATCAATTATATGCATCATCAATGATAAAACCAAATTTTTCAACACATAAGTCTTAAAACATTTCAAATATTTAAGTCTAAAAAACAACTACAAACATAAAAATCCATCATTTGGAACTTACAATTATAGTATTTCGGTTTTTCGGTCGGAAATTCGGTTCGGTTGAAAGAGCCCTGATTTCCGAACTCTCCATATTTTTCTTCTGAATTCCGAACCGAATAGCATTAATTCGGTTTCGGTTCGGGTTTACCGAACCGTTTGCCCACCCCTAAGTGGAGCCATACCTAGAAATAAGAAATTAGATGTGTCCTTTTTTCTGAATATAAATTATTTCGATTAGAGATTTCATTTATAATATATTAAATTGAATTATGACAATCAAATAACAATAAGTGAGCTTTAGCATAGTGGCAAAATACATTTACTGTCATTTTAATTTGGTGATTATTAACTTTTTTTTTTATATGCATACATTGAAATCTATAATCGTTTTATCAAAACTTACATGTGTCCCGTGACAGAGCCAATCACCCCTGACTCCGCCACTGAGTACATATTTCCTGTCATCCTCACAATTAGTCACAATATTTTTTGTGACATTAACTTCTTTTTTTTGTAACCGTTAGTATTAAGTATGGAAAACACACTTTCAAAAATGAGATCCAAAGACTAAAGAAGCTTCTTCCTAGATCTCCTTCCATAGTTAATTTAAAGTCAACAACGAGCCATTGATGAGTCATTTGTCATCTGCGTAAAAATTAATTATAGCATAATATTATAAATGTCTCAATCTATTAAACATTTTCCTATTTCATTGGTACCATAAAAAAACAAATTAATGTCACCCTTATACAAAAAACCAGTGAAATATATTATTCTTTGGTCGAACACGTAGTCCATTCTTCTTTGTCCGGAAACGTATCCAACATACATTATATCAATAAACCAATTAACCATCTGAGGTTAACATATACTCCAGTTCAGTCTAAACTTTGCACTAAAAGAAACTACTCTGACCCAAGCTTTTGGAATTCCAAAATGTACAAATTATTTTCAAATTAATTACTCTGCTTGAGTTGTTCTAACCGTTAAATTAGATGGTTTGACGGCTTGTGTGATTGCAGACATACACAACGACCAAAAACATAAAACAAAAATTCATTATTCAGTAACATAAAGAAAAATGCAAAAAATAAAATAAAATGAAGGTGATGGACTCACGGTCCAATATAGATAGGATTCGATTCGTTCTATCCAAAAATGGGGGAAAAGGCACCGCTAGATTAAAAAGAAAAGAAAAAAAAAAGGTCCATCCTCCTCAATTCAGTTGGTTCCATTTCCGACACCGGTACCCACCTTCCCCGGCCGCTTAATCCCCGCCGGTCTACGGCGGAGCTAAAAAAGAATCTCCCCTAGTGTGATGCGCGCGGTAGAGTTATAGACGATGGTGCCACCGAACCGGCCCGAGATCGTTGAGCTGCCGGCGGGAAACGGGGAAGCAGTATTAGTAGCCGTCGGAGCTGAGTGGGTTGCCGCCGGCGACGTGGAGCAGCGGCTGGAGGAGGACATCGATGGCGGCCGGCGGGAGCGCGTTTTGGACGTCGAGGTGCCTACCGTGGAAGTAAGATTTGAGAACTTGAACGTGGCGGCCGAAGTTCAAGTGGGTTCGAGAGCTCTGCCGACCCTCATCAATGTCGCCCGTGACACCATAGAGGTAAGAAGAAGAAAAAAGGGCAAAAAAAAAAATCTCAAGTGGCTCATAATGCAAGTAACCGATAATCTAGTCGATTGATGTGTGTTTGTTGTAAAACACATATCTCAAATTCGATTTAAATCTTGAACTAATAGGATTTTGGTGATCATTTTTGTGCCTCAAAGTAAATCCTAAGTTATAATTCTCGAAATCCTATACTAGCTTAGATGGGTGATGCAACTAATATGTTAATTTGGATTGGATGTATTTCGATAAATCAAAATCATCGATAAATGTTTCTAATCAAGTTGATATTAGGAAATAAGATTTGTAGAATTAAGACCTATTTTTAGCTCATTAGGGTTGAGGGTATAATACCATGGTCAAAACTCTGTTTAGTTTAAACTCCAGATAGCACCTCCTTATTTAGAGTATATAGAATCCTTTATATTTACCATGAGCACCACAAAACTTCCTATATGTGTATAATCATATTGGAATAGTTGTTGCAATTAGGAATGATAATTTTCGACGTGACCTGCCATACTCGATTTGTTAATATCCATCTAGTGGGCGTGGGAGGGAGGTGTGAACATGGGTACCATGTCTTGATCTGTCGCATTCTTGACCAGCTTATCTGACTTAGATAAGCTACGATTACCTATGTTATATTTTCTTATGTCCTCTTATTAGCTCTCCTGTAGCTATCATAATATGATCAGGTCTCTATTTCTCTAATAATAAGACGTAATTTATTATACTCTTCATTTTTAAATAATGATATTTCTCGACCTTTTTTATCGAATAAATTAGCTTGTTGAATTTTTTTATAGACAAATAATTTGACATGTTCTTACCTGCGATCCAAGATAAAAACACCCAACCTGTACTCAATTGGTTATGGAGTCGGTGAGTACCAACATGGAAGTATCTGCCCAACTGTAATGCAACATTGAAAGCTTCCAACATGGTATGGAGAAGAAGATAAAGAATGGTGGAGAAAAGGCATTTATCGTAGGGATTGCATATTTGGATAACCTATCGATAAGAGATATGGTGGGCTAACTCTTTTGACCGGTTTTGTTCACTCTTTTTGCAGGATTTACTCACCAAACTGCGGATATATCATCCCAAGAGACATTCTTTGACGATTTTGAACAACGTCAATGGCATTTTAAAACCTGGAAGGTAATCACAATTTTTGCTAATCTAATGTAAATACAATGGAAGATATGATTAAAATCGTCATTAGTGTATTGGCCCCAAAGAAGTGGGTCAATTCCATATTGTTCCGTCGGCTGACTGTCGGTATTTAACCAGAAAAATAATAAGTTCTCGACACTTGTTATTGTTGATGTAGGATGACGTTGCTGCTAGGACCTCCGGGTTCGGGTAAATCAACTTTGTTGAATGCTCTTGGGGGACAACTTGACAACAACTTGAAGGTTGGTAATAGTAAGGAATTAATTAGTAATATTTAGCTAGTTTCACAGAAAATGATTTGGTGAGAAAATGGAACGCTTAAAGGGCGCCCCAACCTTTATACGGGAATGAGACGGGGTGTTTGAACCCCGATAGTGTCATGATACAACCAATAAGCTAAATAGCTATCAGGAGCTGAAAAACAATAGATGCCAATCGACAAAGAGTGCCCCTTGTTTGCAAGGTGGTCAGCGACCACGTTCGCCTCTCTGAACATGCCAATCTCGATGGAGCAACCGTCTAATCTCGGCCACACAAGAGTAATGGGAGTGGTGTGGTGTCGCTGAGTCAATTAGTTACAATGTCGTAGTTGAGTCTGTCTGTAGAATAACCTTCCGAATTCCTGTTTCCCAAGTAAGTCGTAACCCATGCACAATACCTGATAGCTCAGCACTTGTGATGGAACCCCCTCCCAGGTTCATAGAAAAAACATTGATGAAGCGGCCATCGTCCCTCCTAACTATTATTTTAAGGACTATTGAAGATAAATTTGGATAAATTATTATTATAATATAAAGGGTTATAGGTATAATATGCCCCCTGCTATGACATTTTATCAAACATGCCCCTTTACTATATTTTACATCAAATATGCCCCTGTACTTTGTAAAATTATCAAACATGTCCTTTTGTTAAAATTTTCATCCAAAAACCATTAATCATGGTCAAAATTTGGTTTGGGCGACATAAATGTCTAAAATATCCCTAATAATTTCACTTTAGAATTTTTTGGTCCTTTTGTATAGCTAAATAATTCTAATAATTTCACTTTGACGAGACCCAGAGAAATAAAACAGGTGACAAAACTGACATTTTCCCTCCCATTTGCCGATGTCGGGTCATCTAAATCTCGGTTCAACCATGATTGATAAATTTTCAATGTAAATTTTAACAGAAGGGCATGTTTGATAATTTTTTCAAAATACAGGGGCAATTTGATGTAAAAAATAGTAGAGAGCATGTTTGATAAAACGTCATAGTAGAGGGGCATATTATACCTATAACCCTAATATAAAAGATGAACTAAAGACGGATAAAACATAAAGTACAGAGATATATCTGTTATAACAACAAAATATGGTGACTAAATAGAATATTTACTCTAGAATCACTTTCCTCGACCTCCTGATTTCTGAACTACGAAAGGCGATGATGCAATTGGTCACCACGAAACTGGCGCCAAAATTCTCCAACAACCGCCGCTGCCACCGCCGCCTCTTCGATCAACAACACCGGCGGCGGGGGATAGCGGTTGGGTTGCTTTCCCCGACGCGAGAAGTAGTACAAATAAACTGAAATAGAGTAATCAACTCCTTGATCTTGCGCTCATAAACTCGGGGAAATGTGGCTATATATCACTAACCTTATCGAATTCTGAGCGAATTGCTTTTGCCCTATCTTTTTGCTCAGGTAACTGGTAGAGTCACCTACAATGGAGAAAGCGTCGACGAGTTCTACGTGCAGAGAACAGCGGCGTACGTCAGCCAAACGGACGATCATATCGCCGAGCTCACCGTGCGAGAAACCCTCGATTTTGCTGCTCGCTGTCAAGGGACGAGCCAAGATTTTGCCGGTTAGTTTACTAGCTTCTTAATTGTTTAATGCATGCAGTATCAGTCATTCAGGGAGATTATGTAAGAAGCTTGTTAACGATGAACTGGTTATTGGCGTTCGATTCGAAATTCATGTGATGCTTCTTGGTTTAGGCTGCATGAAAGAAGTAATGGAAAAGGAAAGGGGACAACATCCCAGTCCTGAGATTGATGTCTTCATGGAGGTCCCTCCTTATACTGAAGTCTTTTGTGAAATCAATGTACGACCCGATTTCACAGTCACCATAACTGCAATTGGTTGTTATTTGACTGTGAAAGGCATCATTGATTCCCGGACAGAGGCATAGCGTATCGACAGACTATGTCCTGAAAGCTCTCGGGCTAGATACATGTGCAGATGCTCTAGTCGGCGATTACATGGTCAGGGGCATCTCAGGCGGCCAAAAGAAAAGAGTTACTATTGGTACTCTCTACCCCCCTCCCCCCACATTGCTCAAATGTTGTTAATGTGGGTGTTAACAGATGTTTCTGAACGGTGTTTCTGTCACAGGAGAAATGATCGTAGGGCCAAGGAAAACGTTTTTCATGGACGAGATATCAACTGGACTTGATAGTTCAACAACTTACCAAACCGTGAAATGCTTGGGCAATTTCATACATATGAGGCAAGGAACTGCGTTGATGGCTCTTCTTCAGCCGCCACCCGAGACCTTTGAGCTATTCGATGACCTCATACTGCTATCGGAGGGATACATGGTTTACCAAGGACCGAGGGGTGGAGTTTTACCATTCTTCGAGTCTCTCGGGTTCCAGTTGCCTCCTAGAAAGGGCATTGCGGATTTCCTCCAAGAGGTGCACGCTCTATGAATGGAGATTTTGCTATTATGTTGACCTCGGGGATTGTGTACATGTTGATGTCATTGGATTGCCTGCGTCAGCATAATTTTGCTATTGCATTGATGACTATTCATGTATTTTGGTTGGACAGGTGACCTCTAGAAAGGATCAAGCTCAATATTGGGCGGATGCTTCAAAACCATATGTGTACATTTCTGTCCCGGAGATTGCCCTAGCATTTAAGGATTCTGCAATTGGGAAGTCTGTTAGCTCAGCAATCTCTGTCCAGTATGACAAAGCCAATGGCCATCTTGAAGCTTTGTCTAGAACGAAATATGCTGCACCTTGGTGGGAACTGCTTCAAACGTGCTTTCAGCGGGAAATCTTGCTGATGAAACGGAATCAGTTCCTGTATGTGTTCAAAACTTGCCAGGTATTCTTGTTTTCCCCCTTTCCGAATAGGTGGAGAAATGTCTTAGGTAAGTAGTGAATGCTGTATAATTGTATGTTGCACCACTAATCTTCCATCCCAATTTCCCGCTGATAAAAGCTTGCGATCGTTGGATTCGTCACTTGCACCATATTCACCCGGTCGAGATTGCATCCTGAGAGCGAGATAGAAGGGAATCTATACCTCTCATGCCTGTACTTTTGTCTGCTTCAAATGATATTCATTTGCTATGCCGAGTTGCCCCTGCTAATTTTTCGGCTCCCAGTCTTTTACAAGCAGCGGGATAATTTGTTCCATCCAGCTTGGGCGTGGTCGCTTGCTAGCTTCTTGCTAAGCGTTCCATACTCCATTATTGAATCTGTTGTATGGTCTGCAATCGTCTACTACTCTGTTGGTTTTGCTCCTGAAATATGGAGGTTCTTTCGTTTTGTGCTGGTGCTTTTTTCGGTTCACCAAATGACTATAGGCCTCTTCCGAACATTAGCCTCAGTTGCTCGGGACATGGTTGCCACCTTTGCTCTTGTATCAGCCTGTCTGTTGATCATCTTCTCCTCAGGTGGTTTTATCATCCCGAAAGGTAATTGATCATTCAAATAGAAGAGTCAACTTGCTGGAACCGATTTTGATGTTTGATTTGTGGTTACTGATTCAGTTTTGTTTCTTTCTTTCCAGCTATGGTCAAGCCATGGTGGGCTTGGGCGTTTTGGATTTCACCGTTGACATTTGCTCAACGTGCAATCTCTGTAAATGAGTTTGGTGCTGAAAGGTGGATGAAGGTGAACAAACATTTACTTCATATTGACGCTATCCCATTATATGGATGCATAGATGTATATGTATGGCTACTAAAAAATTCTGCAATGTGCCACAGAGCTCAACATTTGGAAATGGTACGATTGGTCACAACATTCTCAACAACCATAGCCTAACAACTGATGACCGCTGGTACTGGCTTGGAGTTGGTGTCTTGTTGACTTATGCATTGTTTCTAAATGTCATCGCGACACTTGCACTGACGTTTCTTCATCGTAAGTTCTAATTGCAGTTGATCATCATGTACAGTGAAATTGTTTATATCATTTGTTAAACAAATGTTTCGTTCTTGATTTGACCCAATTGCAGCTCTCAAAAAGCATCAAGCTCTTCATCCTGGTGATGATGCTTCAGCGAAAATCAACAAAAGTGGTTAGTGTTGAATGGTTCGATCACTGAATTAGCAGCTCCTTAATGGTTTTTTTTCCACTTTTTTTGGTTCAGCCAATAGGACAACCTTTTGGTTTCTCTTTTCTGCAGGGGATAGGAAGAAGAAATCAAGTGGAACGTCCATGGAAGAGGTTGTAAGGAGAGGGACGTTCCTTCCTTTTGAACCGCTAGTGATGACTTTTCACAACGTGAGCTACTTCGTTGAGATGCCAAAGGTATATTTTTCCTCCCTGTTCAGGTCTGTTTATTAACTGCTTATGTTGAACTAGCACCCTGCTGTTATGGTTTCAGGAAATGCGTCATGGTAAATCTGAGACACATCTGCAGCTACTATCAGAAGTGAGCGGAATTTTCTCACCCGGTATTCTGACTGCGATTGTGGGTTCGAGTGGGGCTGGGAAAACTACGCTACTCGATGTGCTTGCCGGAAGGAAAACTGGTGGATACATAACTGGGGATATAAAGATAGCAGGACATCCTAAAGTGCAGAGCACATTTGCTAGGATTTCGGGATATGTTGAGCAAAACGACATCCATTCTCCTCAAGTCACTGTTGAGGAATCTCTCTGGTTTTCTTCTGCTCTCCGGCTCCCCAAAGAAGTCACCAAAGCAGAAAGACAAGTGAGTTTTTTTTTTGACTTTTTGTTTAGAAAATATTGGTCCCTCCCACTTTTAACAACTTGTTTTATTCTATTGCAGGAATTTGTTGAACAAGTAATGAGGCTGGTAGAGCTTGATACGTTAAGACTTGCTTTGGTTGGGTTGCCGGGTAGTTCTGGTTTATCAAGAGAGCAAAGAAAACGCTTGACAATCGCTGTGGAGCTAGTTGCGAATCCCTCCATAATTTTCATGGACGAACCAACATCTGGGCTTGATGCAAGAGCTGCAGCCGTGGTGATGCGAACTATGCGCAATACTGTGGACACAGGACGGACTGTGGTTTGCACCATTCATCAGCCGAGTATAGACATATTTGAATCATTCGATGAGGTTGTTCCTACAATTTGTTCTGGAGTAAATACCTTGTTAGGACGATTATGTTGCTTTTGCTTCCGAATATCGGATATCATGTTGGTTGTTATGGCAGCTGCTTCTCATGAAGCAAGGAGGAAAGATCATCTATGGTGGGCAGCGTGGTCTCTACTCCCGGACTCTAATTGACTATTTTCAGGTAATGCTGCAAAAGCCTGAGTTGTTTTAAGTTGAGGTCAGAATTGAAGTTAAAATTATTTGCTTGGTTAGGGAATTGGCGGGATTCATCCGATTCCGAATGGCTATAACCCTGCAACCTGGATGCTAGAAATTACTTCTACTAACGTTGAACAGAGGATGCATCTAGACTTCGCACAGTCGTACAGAACGTCTCAGCAGTTCAGGTAATCCCAAAATGTTTTGTGGTAGATCACAGGTAAGCCCTAGCTGAAGTGCTGTTAAAGTTCTTGTTTGAGGGTTTTCTTGTTTTTTCTCCAGGGACGTCGAAGCTTCAATTCTTAGTTCGAGTGCCCCTCCTCCTGCCTCCCAACTATTAAACTTTTCCTCTCCATATGCGCATGACCTATTGTCCCAGTTCCGGATTTGCTTACGAAAGCAAATGCTTGTCTACTGGAGAAGCCCACAGTACAATGCAGTAAGGTTGCTTCTAACTGTGGTTGTTGCTTTGATATTAGGCACCCAGTTCTGGGACATTGGTTCACTGAGGTAATTGTCGCAATCCCTTTTCCCCTCCTGAAGAACCGTCATCAGCATCATGCCTAACAATTCCCTCTTAATAAAATGTTAGGGACACAACACGCTCTTTGTTCACTGTAATGGGAGCTTTGTACTCCGCTTGCGTAATCCTCGGAGTTAGTAACGCGGCTGCGGTGCAGGCTGGAGTATCAACTGAGAGAACAGTGTTCTACCGAGAGAAGGCGGCAGGGATGTACTCTCCCCTTGCTTATGCTGCAGCACAGGTTGGTTCCGATTTCTATAATCCTCTTTTCGCATGATTGGAGGAAGTCTTTGACCAATCTTTCTTTCGGGTCACAGGGCATTGTGGAGATCCCATACATTGTTGTACAGACAATTCTGTACAGCATCATTACGTACTTCATGATTAATTTCGAGCGAGATGCTGGTAGACCTCTGATCTTCTTACACTTTGTTTTCGCCTTGAGAAGCAAGTAACCTTTGCCTTCTCCTTTCTTGTTTTGGTACAGGGAAGTTCTTCACGTACGTGGTCTTCATGTTCCTCACATTCACCTACTTCACATTCTTCGGGATGATGGCTGTCGGGCTCACCGATACCCAGAGCCTCTCCGCGGTGGTGTCTGCAGTATTCTACACTTTTTGCGACCTTCTCTCCGGTTTCCTCATCTCCAAGCAGGTAACCCAGCAGGGAGATATCATAATGGTGGATTTTGAAAGACAGCTGGTTTTGTATTCAGACTCTTTTTTTCGCTCTCAGTTCGTGCCAGGGTGGTGGATCTGGCTATACTACATCTGCCCCGTGGCGTGGACCCTGCAAGGGATCATCTCGTCGCAGCTCGGTGACGTGGAGACCGTGATCGAAGGGCCAGGGTTCCGCGGCTCGGTGAAAGATTATCTGAAGGAGTACTATGGGTACGGGACCAACATGGTTGGACCTTCGGTCGGGGTGCTCGTCTGTTTCAGCATCCTCTTCTTCTCTGCCTATGCCGCGTCTTTGAAATTCATCAACTTCCAGAGGAGATGATAATATAACGAGAGTGAAGCGTCCAAGTAAACTACTTTGGGCTTCCTACAATGGGCCTATTCAAATACTTGGGCCTGTTCGCGCTTTTTCCGGCAAACGACTGTTTCAACGTTGGGCCACACTGGGCCCGGATGACACTTGCATGGGTTTGGTATTTTTTTCTTCTCCACTCGTCAATAATTGCCAGGGTGTGATCTGGTTATTAGTTAATCTTAATCTCATTGTAGTAGTAGTAATAATAATAATAATGATAATAATAATAATAAATAATGAGAGGTTCGATGTTTCACTCCATTAGCGGGGTTGACAGCCCTACTACTTGATCAAACCCAGAAAACAGATCTATTACATAAATTCTATAAATTTTGAGAAATTCATTTTGAAATGAAACATTTTTGTGTTTGGTATTTAAGAGATTTCATTCTCAATTCTAAAATTTGAATTTTATGGAATTGGAACTAGTTATAGCAATTCTGGGGAATTGAGATGGAATTTCCAAATGAATTCCACAAGTATTAATTAATTATAATATAATGATATAATTATCCTCTCTTTCTAACTAAATTACTTATACATATGACATACCAAACACATAAATTCATTTGACAATGAATTCTACATGACAATTCATTTTATTTCTACAGATTTGAATATTACATACCAAACACAAGATTTCTTTTGACAATGAATTCTACATGGTAATTTATTTTACAATGAAATGAATCTCGATTCATTTGGTACCAAACGGTCTGTTAACATTGCTTATTTAAATATTTATATTTTAATGAACCAGTGTAATATAAATACATGCACAATAGATGCATTTTTTTCAGGGTAATTCAACATATGTATTTTATGGATTGATTTACGTAAAGTAATTTATGGGAAACTGCAACATTTACTCTACTTTTAATACAGGAGCTGATAAAATTAAAAAGAAAAAAAGAGGCACTCAAATCTAAAATCAACGATAATTTTGGTTGAGATTGTAATTCATCATTTTTGTTGATTGTAGGTGGGATCTTCACAACAATGCGTATATTTATAATTTCACACTTTCAAATGTTGTATCCTATGTATTCAATAATTACAATTTTTATGATCGCAACTTGCTAACGGCTCCTTGAACAAAATTCATAATGAAACATGAATTCTTTTCTTCTAAAAATGGCGTTGCGAATACAAACCCCAATTAACCAATTTTCCAATTAATTCTTATTCTTGGACAATACTCAAAAAAGGACGATGTTTCATTTCAAATCATTGCACATTATATTATACAAACGTTATACATTAACAACTTGATACATTATCGCTTTTTAAGTTAACGATGTTGTGTCGACGTGAGAATATCCAACAGCAAAATACACAATATAGAGGAACACTCACACAGAGAAATGAGCTAGTTGAAATATTGAATGAACAAATTGTTGTTGCTGTTTTCAGCAAAGCCTAATTAATTTCACTAGGCTGGGCAGGCTGTCGCGTTTTGGGTTCGGTTTGGGTTAGTCAACCCACACATCGACAGACAGAAAACAGAGCACAGAACAGAAACAGAGGAATTCTGTTTTTCTCATTTTTTCGAAATTTACAAACAGAGGAAGAAGAAGAAGAAAAAAAAGGACAAGCCGCAGTCAGGCCGTGCCTCGTACGCTGTTCATTCATTTCATTAAATTTCCCGCCGGCCAGCCAGCCAGCCTCTGGGTTTGGTTCCTCTGCTCTTGCACGACTTCACACTCTCACGTTGACTCTTTCCCACTTTGACCCACAACCCCAAAAGAACACAAAACACAGTCACACATAGACAAAGCTGCTTCAATTCAATTCAGAGTTGAAACCCAACCAGGCTAGCAGCATCTCCCTTTGTGTCCTTTTTTCTTTCTCTTCCTGAAAGGAAAGCAGGAAATTTGACAGCCAAACAAACAACACTCTTTTAGCTGTGCGCCAGAGACTCTGGCAGGCGACAAAGTACACACTTCTGCTCAGAAACAACAGCAGCAGCAATTAAACTTACACAGAGAACCCAATGCCATCTTTGATCACTCTGCTGCTCTAGTGTTTGATTGCTTGTTTCTTTTTTTATGATTAGCCATTGTGGTTACAAGCTGGTTTGGTCGTCATTGGGAGAATATGGTTTGATGTCAAAGTTGAAAGTTGTGGTTAGACTAATGTTTTGTTTAGTGTATCTGCTTTGATATGTTGAGGTGAAAAAGTCAGACAATGATATGAAAGGGCCAAAAAAAAAACGGCTTGATTGTAGTAACCAAAGAAGGAAATTAATAAACTATGGTGGACTTTAGACACAACTATCAAAGCCATGTGAAATTCTTTGTGTTTTGTATCATGTCATTATGTGTGTTCTTCAGTCAATTTGATTCACCATGTTTTTTTTGTAATTGCTCGTAATTGTATTTGCAATCTTACAAAAACGATAAGCAGTAGTTTGGATTTTCGAGTTCAAATTTTACGATTAATGTTGCTCGACCACATGATGTACACATAAACAAAAGGAAATATCCACAAATTCAATTATTCCCTATTCTTCTTAGTTGATGGTGGCTTTACTACACTTGTGCTTTCATATGATGGTTGGTATCTATAATTTAGATTGTACGACAGTCAACTTCATATTACTAGATTAATCCATAAAAATGATTGATGGTTTCACGAAATTAACAAACTTAACAGTTAAACCTAGACTCTATGACAAGGAACGGATGGACTAGAACATGAAAAACGTCAATATCTCCCTGAATTTTGTTGACATTGACACAAAAGTCATAAAAAAAAACTTATCTTTCATAAAAACATATTGTTAACATCAGTTTTCTGCCGCTTTATTGGCCTCGCTACTCCAATAACGTCATCCGAGGCGATGATGGTGCCACTGAGACTATTGCTCTCGCTCTCCGATTTGCCACTGGCAGATTCCCAATAGAGAACACTCAACGGAGTTCTTCTAATACTAGACTTCGTATAATCTTCGGTCAAACAACCACACATAATTGTTTCTTGCACATGATTCAAGCACCTCGATAAATTGTCCTGCCACAATAATTTAAAAAAAATTAACAAAATTGGTAAGTGCAAATTAGCAAAAGGTAACGTTACATTTCAATTTTTCGGTAATAACTTTATAGCTCTAGTTCGCTTCTACCGATCGATAATGATTCGGTCTATAACAAACCAAATTAGATCAATCGATATTTTGATCAAATCAAATTGAACCAGATAAATAGCAAGTCGATTATAGTTTTACAACTTTTTAAAAAATTAAACAAAAACACGTACCAAATCAATTGAATTTGACAGATTACCCTTTTGTTTAGACGATTTCGTTTTCTTTTTGGCCTTTGTTTTAGGTAATCATACCCAACTTGATCCGGTTTTAAATTGAACAGAACCATTTATGCCCTTATAGTTAAACTTATGGATGGAATAAAAAAAAAATGTTACACACCGTGTTTACACAATCACAAGAGGAAATGGAGCGCTCGAAGGAATGGAATTGGAGAGGGAACAATTCCTGACACGCTGCAAGAAGCGCAGACGCCGCCACCGCCGACGGCCTGAACTCCAGCAGCTTCATCTCTGTTTTTGCCAAAGTCCAAGCAGTAAAAAACAGAAAGAACAAAGATAACGACAGGAAAGTGAAACAGTAAATAAATTTTGCTCTGTTTTGCTCTTTTTACCGTTTTGGGTTTTGAAGATGATATCTTGGGCACGGGATTTCAGAGCTCGTTGTTTCACTGCTAGCTCCGACGCCGTCGTATCGAAGGATAACGCGAAGTACTCAAGGAAAGAGAAGGGGGTTATCGATCTCATCCGCCATTGAAGAGCGTGGAGAATCATCACCTCCATCCTGTTAATCGTCTTCTCGTCGAAACCAAAACACCCTTCTCTCTGTTTTTCCCCCCAACCCAAATCAGTAAAATTAGTACTTGACAAAACAAGGATTCGAGAAAAAAGAACAGAGAGATTTTCTCTAACAGATTGTTTTTCGTTACCTGAAAATCAGAGGCTGAGAAATCCGAATTCCTCATCTTGGAAGCTAATGAGAGGCAGGACATCACAACGAGTCGTACAACCCATGGCTTGTTTTCCTTGAAAAGAATAAACGGCGATCAGAAATTCCTCACCGGGGAAAAAAAACAGAGTAAGACAAAAACAGAGCGATGGAATTTTACTACGATTGAGTACCATGTTTTCGAGCCGGGAAGCGAAACGATCCATGTAATTGACGGCGAGGTAGGGCAAAAAAGGGTCTGAATAATCAGCCTGGGAAACGATTTTGATGGCTTCCCGACGAAATAGTGCGTAAGAAACAGAGGTTTTGAGGAAGTCTGGTGACGGCATGTGATCGGACTCTGAAGAAAAGAGGAGAAGTGGGGTCGTTTTGGAATCGGAATCCTTGGAGCTTGAAATGCTCGTTAATGGGTTTTCGAGATCGAACTCCATTGTTTCAGAAAGCTCAGAGCTTTTTGAAGCAGGACAAAATGGTTTAAGTAGGCAATGGTGAAGAGGGAAAACAGAGGGACAGGGAGAATAGAAGAGAGGAGAGAGAGAGAGAGAGAGAGTGAAAAGATGGATAGGTGAATAATAAATAAATAAGAAAAATAAAAGTCGTTTATCATGAATTTAATAATTATGATTTTCCCTGTTTCATTTCGTGGATTTATTTTTGGTTAGCTTATCACTAATTTTGATGGTACAAATGGAAATTTCTACAGTTGGATATGTGTATATAAACTAGTAATGAATTTAATTTCGTATGGAGAATTACTCGTAGAGTGTTTTCGTTCAAAACGTTAAATGAATACTTTGAAAATCGATCCAGAGGAACTTGATAAAACACAATTTTCTATCAATTGAAAATGTATGATCGGTATATATATATTTTGTACATGAACAAAGGGTTCAACATTTGGTTAACGCTCACGTTCAATTAATCAACACCATAATTCATTATCGAATAAGTTCATTCAAATAATAAATCTTAAACCGGTTTACTAAGGATAGAATTGTGGCAAAATAAACATATTAGGGAAAAGAGGTGGGGTAATTTGGATGTATAATGATTGAGAAAGAAGCTTCCACATTTGTCATTAGCCTAAAGTAAGAATGATAATCAAACCAAAAGGAAAGAAAAGTAATAGGGCGTTTTTTGGGACTTTTACTCAAGAAAGGGGAAAAAGGAAGCTTCAAATTACCTGCACATAGAGGCAAATGAGATTTACCATAATGCTGCTAATTTTCCAACTATTAGGTGGCTGACTCCACTCATGGAAATTTTCTAGAGTTCCACAACTACTACTATGTTAGTGAAAAGTGAAAGGATTTGTGATTATAATTACAACTGACAACAAGGTTTGGAGGG